TGTAGACGACTTACATTATCCCGGGGTGCTGTAAACATGAAAGTAAACTATGTTTTACGATCTGTTGAGGCTTATCCTCAGTGATATAAGAATTTTACCAAAAAAAAAAAACTACTAATAATAAAAATAGCATAAATATAGATTAGTTAGAAATAACTAAATTTGTATTTATTCATATGTACAATTTTAAAATAATCAATTTTTTTATTCATGATGTGGACAATTTTTTTTAAGATCATTAATGAGGGATGCTTTGGCGTACTTAGATATTTTTGGCGGCTTAAAAAAATATTTAAAATGTCAGTACGTGAGCATAATTTAATATATATATTGGGTGCTATATATATAAGTATAATATGGGTGGTATTTATATATAAGTATAATATGGGTGGTATATATATTATTAAATATAATATGGGTGGTATGTGATTTTTCAAAGTATTAAAGCGTCGATAAAATATGGCCATGAGCACACATAAAATAGTATAAAAATAAGTTTCATATGAAATTACTTTATGCTGTAAAATTTTTTTTTCATATTTTGTATTACAATAAAAAATTAAGGTTTATTTTTATTATATATATATGGGTTCATTCGTTTGGGGGGGAACGTAGCTTTAGTATAATTAATCAAATAATAAAAAAAATAGAAAATGCATTTATTTAAGGGGGTATTCGGGGAATAGTGTGATTTTTTTTTTTTTTTAATTGTGTGCATTTATTTAAAGATACATAAACTTATATATATATATATATATATATATATATATATATATATATATGTTTGTATATATTAGGGTCATAGAAACATAATTTTTTTACAAAGTTCATATAACACTTTAAAAGAATTATACTAGCATCGTTGTCCTTTTTAATGTAGGGGGTAAGAAGTACGATAATAAATCACACATTTTGACAAAATATATATTTTTTGTTTTGAAAGCATGTTCCATTGTAGTTTATTTTTGGGGGGCTATACATAAATAATAAAATATGGTGTGTTTTACAAGTTTGTTTATGAGAAATAAATGTTAAGTTTTTATATATATCCTATACATAAATAAGATATAACTTGAAGTGCATATATATTAGAAACGTAAATGAAGGACGAGAGAGAGTGGATAATGTATTTTTTTTGTAGTTGTGTAATAATATATGTGTTTTTTAATTATTGTGAAAACGAATTTATAATACAAATGAATCAAACTAAACATAACAAAAAGTAAAAGTATTTATATTATTATGTACATATAAAAACTAGTGTTTAAAACAAGACTAAATTATAAACATGATTTAACATATTTCTATTTTTGTAATAATATCATACTACATTTGCTTTGCTGCTAAACACTAAATGTATATATACATTCCAAAATATATACAAATATATTGTATACTTTTAGAACGTACCTTTAATCTTTTAGCGAAGCAAAAAGGTTTTTTTTTTAACAATTTATATTTTTTATAAGTAAGGTTACTAAAAAATTTGTATATATATATGTATATATTTTAACTTTGGGGCTCAAAAGAAAACGTACTCTATTGAAAATAATGCGCCATACGATACGCAAGGTAACCTTTTTTTGTATGCAGAATTTTTTGGTATAAATGTAAAAGTTGTTAAATTACATAAACAAAAAGGGTCATTTATTCACATGATGACTCAATCGAATTTTCTTGTCCTTTTTTATGGTTATTGCAAAAATATATACAGAGATAATTTTATTTATTTGTGTGGTGTATATATTTTCGAAATTCACAGTACTGTTAAAACTCCAGTTATACAATATTTTTAGTTAGGTATAAATATATTATTATGGAAAATTATATACGTGTGGGTGTAGTGTTTTTTTTTTTTTTATTATGATTTTGCATATTTCTTTCTGTTATCGTCACAGTTGTTAGTCTATACATCATATAATACTTATGAATTTCATTTATTTTTTTACTTTTTACTTTCTATGGTACCACTTTTTGAAGCTGTACACAACAAGGTATATGCTTCATTCTTTTTTTTCGTAGCAAAATCGTTCCATGATGTGATGCAACTATTTAAGAATTTGATAAAATCACATGTTTTGCATGACGTTTGTTTTTTTAAAAACTTTTTTAAATTTTGATAGCCATCATTGTCTGACTCTCGTATCACATCTTGTGTAAGTTTCTTATATACAGAGCACCAGACTTTTTTTTGGAAACTTGCATTACGTCCATACTTAGTTGCTAACATTAATGAGACGTTTTTCAAGCATTCAAGGAGGTTAGACCAGTTTGATTTATGTTCATTATATAAAATCATATAAATAAAATTCATATCCTTTAACGATATATCAGGACCATAAGATTGTATTTTACATATCAGTTGATTTGTAAGTTCTACTTGAGAAGATAATCTGCTTAAATAATCTTCTACTGTTTCTTCAGGTAATGGATTTCTGTTTTTTCCACTCTCTTTAGTTAATATATTTTGATTTACAACAGTACCTCTTAAAGTAAGCATTGTTCTTTGGGCTAGGGACCTTGGGTGTCGATGATTTGATGGCAAGTTGTGAGCGCGGTGGTCATTATTGTTACTTTGATTTATAAAAATATTCTACAAAAGAGATAAAAATTAAGAGCACACATATATAATATAAGATATGTTGTTTTTGTGTACACAAAAATTTTATGTATATTGAATTAGCAAAAAAAGTTACAATTAGAGTAAACAGTTTCAACACTACTTAAAGGAAGTAATATATGAATAACAATATATATACACATTATATACATATTATATATATTCTTTATATATGTGGTTGCTATATTTTTTTTTTTTTTTCATTTACTAATAGTAGAATATATAAAAAGGCAGAAAGCTGTATAAAAAAAAAAGCTTTGTTGTTGGGTATGCTACATTTCGTGAAACTTTTGTTTTCTATATTGTATTCATAATCCCCAGACGAGTTATTATTTATACGTGACTTGCTACGTGTCATATTTTAAGTAAAAAATTTGAAATAGAGAAATGCTTCTTTTTAAAAATTGTAATAAAATATATAAAATACACAGGCTATTATTTTTATATAAATTTCTATTATTAGAAATGAATTTATAGTAATGTAAATAAAACGCGACTTGTCTTTTTTAACATATAATTTTTAAGCAATATTTTTGAACATAAACATACATGTGTTTTTTTTTTTTTTTTTTGGATAAACAAATTGTACAACATAAAAATAAAGTAGATAATGGCAAGCAAAAATAATGTAAAAGATTAATAAAAGTGTTACAAAAAAAAAAGTTTTCAGAACGCTAAAACTCGTTCAAGTAAAAATTTATGGTAGAAACAACAGTACAAAATTGATAATTAAGCTTATTCATATAATATATAAAAAAAATATATTTTTACATAATTATAATTTTTGTACCACCAAATTTTTAAAACTAGCTTTTATAGACTTAAACATGTATACATATATATATATTTATATATTCAAGGAAATTCTTGATTATATTATACATAATACCATATGCACATGGGGGAGGGACAAGGGGTTGCTTAAGTAAAATAATTATACATATATACACACATTTTATAGATTGTAATAAATATTACTATCTGTGATAATGTGTTTTTTGAGTATGATATTTACTACTATACTTACGTGTGAGTGGTTGAACTATGATATACATGTAACATCAACTATATATATAATACTAAAAAACAATATAAAACCACAAATGGAGCAACATTGGAAAAAATTAATTTTCTGACTTGTAGTAAGCTAAGATGTGCGTGCAGAATTTTGTTATTTTTTTAGAATCATTTTTCTAAAATTCACAGTGCAATTTTCTAATAAAAAATATGATTATATCTATGTTGTTTCAAGGGATAAATTTTATGGTAATTTATGCTTAATATAACAAAAAAAAAAAAAAAAAAAAATCAAAACAATTTAAACCAAAATAACAAAAAAAATAAAATAAACTGTTAAAACTAAACACAAATGCGCAGTCATTATAAACATTAAAATAAGTTAATTTTTTTTAAACCTTTGCGCATATATATATAGAGAGAGCATAGTTTCTTCTTTTTTTTTTTCCCTTTTTTACTATCACTATGTATATATATATACTTTCACTTATATATGGCACCTAAATTGTCTACATATATATTTATATAAATATTATAAAAATGTATTTTTAATAACTTTGAGGTTGTCACCACCGCTGGGTGTAGCAGGTTTGTATAATTTTTACAACAAAGAGAGAATATTTAAACAAAATGTGGGTTCTTTTGTAATTTTTTTTCTATATTTAGCATTTTTTGTAAAATAATATTCTTTTTCATTAAAGAGTTAAAAATGGTATTCAACTTTTTCCTATTCTTTTGCATTAAATTTATTATATTAGTAATGGAGATGAATAAATTTGGGGGGGAGTTGATTAAAGGAAAAAAAAAAATGACATAAAAAATGACAATAAAAATTGGCATAAAAAATGGATAAAAAATGGCATAAAGAATGGATAAAAAATGGATAAAAAATGGCATAAAAAATGGATAAAAAATGGATAAAAAATGGCATAAAAAATGGATAAAAAATGGCATAAAAAATGGATAAAAAATGGCATAAAAAATGGCATAAAAAATGGATAAAAAATGGCATAAAAAATGGATAAAAAATGGCATAAAAAATGGATAAAAAATAATATAAAAAAGTTTTTTTTTTATTTTACCGAGAATTTATAAATGAAACTACAAAATTTTAGGGTAACGCATGCATTACAGAATAGAAAAAATATATAGTAATTATCATGAAAAAATGTACTTTTTTTTTTTTTTGGAATTGATTGTATGGATTCTACAAGTAAAAATTTTTTTTGTGCATATCGCGGAAATTTTTCTTTTGTAAAAATGGATTTATCAAAGTTGTAACGTTTTTTTTTTTAATATCTATACCTGATGTAATGATACATAAATAAATATTAAATATATGTAAATAAAAGTGTTTTATACATGGTTAGGACATATATTTTTTTATTTTATATTTATTTGAGTAAAAATTAAGCTTTTTAACTCTAAATGAAGATGGAAATAAATACCTTAATTATTATAGGAGTTTTAATGTATACATAAATATAATAGAACATATATATAAGTTAAGAAATATATAGTAGTACATATATGGTACTTTATGTATTATATATACTGTATGCATAGAATAAGACGGAAAATAAAAATTTAACAATTTGATATAACTAATTGCTATTAAAACTTCTTTCTACGTTTAAATAATTGTTCATGGATTAATATGGATGGAATGTTTTTAAGCGACTCCATACGTACGAACTTTCAACATGCTTTCAACTTCATAATATTGATGTGAACGTTAATGCGAAAAAACGAAAATATTAAACCATAAAATAAAAATAGAAAAAGTATATTGTAAAAAATTTTTAAGACATTTTACAGAGAGCAAAATTTCCTATTCTCTTTTAGCCATAGAATTATAAATGACATTGTTTAGTCCATACAAAATTAGATGTAAGTTTTGTGTCATTATTTTTTTACTATTTAATATTGTAGGATTATATTTATATATATGTACAATAATTATATATACCTATATGTTGGCGTCTTAATATGGATAAATTGGACAGATCCTTATTATTGCACCTGTATGGCTTACAAGATATATATTATACCTATGAAAAATAATGCATTTTACAAGATAAAAAAGAGTAACTTAAATTGACACTTTGCCAAAAGAAAACAAAAAGAAAGAAGAATTAATTAAAAAAGGTAATTATTAGATTGTATTCTTAAGACGTTCATTTTTTTTTTTTTATTATATTAAATCATTTTAAATTTTACTTTCATTAAACATTAAAGAAAAGAAAGTTTTCCACCACCACCCCGGCCCTTTCGCACTTCTTTTAGAGCTCAATTTGTGTAATACTATGAAAATTAGTAACTAAGAATTATTTTGGAAATGGGTAACACGAAATAAAGCCCATAAATATATAACTTAGTATAGAATTATAAAATAGTTGAAAAATTACATTCTCGCGAATTTTTCTGGTAAAAATTCTTAAGACAATTTTTTCTGCAAAAAATTAAAATAAAATAAAAAACTTTCATTCATGCATATTTTTTATATATGCATTATTAAAATAAAACAGAAAATAATTATTTCAAAAGAGCTTAAAAAAAATGTATAATATATATATTTATATGTATTTTTTTTGGTTTTGAGCTATAGTTAAGATGCAAATGTGACATAATATAAAGTACACAATTCAATAAAAGGTTTGTTAGGGTGGGAGGTGGGTTATAGATAATTTAATCAGAGTTTAAAATAAGAAAAGGTGTAAAAGTGTTCATAAGAAAAACAATAAAAATGTGGGTTTCCATTTTTCGTGCACACAAAAACACTTGCTTTCAATATATATATAATGAAAATTTATAAAGAAATAAATGTACCTTTTGTGAATTTTACCGGACTTGTACATTAAGGGTTTCTTTTTTTTTTTTTTTCGTATCGAAGTTGGAAAGAACTTTAAATAAGTAAAAAACACAAAAATTTATATATAAAAGTGTAATATTATGTATAGGTGAGAAATGAAAAAGTGAAAAAATGCAATAATAAAAACACATTAAAAAACAGGTGCAATAATTTTTGTTCCCTTTGCACTTTTACAATTTTAGATATACAATATATTAAGGAAAAATATAATTCAGTTTATTCTATTTATTTTAGCTTAAGAACAACATTTATATATGCAAATAATTTTAACTATTTTCTAAGGGGTGATTGTATCACAAAAAAATTCACGTGACTTTTAATGTGTGTTTTTTTTTTTACTAAACAGGCAAAATATCATCTATCTTTTATTATATACCCATTGAAAGACACTTATTTATAAAACAGATGGAATGTGTGCGGTTGGCTAATTTCTTTACGTTTATTTTTTGTATAATAATATAGTTCCACTTTAGAATATAATACCCTTTTCTCCTATGTTTTAACTGCATAGCTTTATTACTATATAACCTTAATGATTTTCTGAACAAAATAGAATAAGCTTTTTTGTGAATACACATAATTATGCATGCAAAAATAACTTTGATTAATGTAATATTATATCCCCTTAGCCAAAATGTTCAAATATTTTTAAATTTTCTTTTCTTAAAGTATAGCTCGTTTAAATAATATTTATTTTTATGTTATATTCTAAGTCCATTCTTATTGCGTGAGCCTTCAATGACTCAAACTGTGACACCTGATCTATTATATTATCTTTTTTTTTTTTTTTAAATGTACGCAAAAATTTTACGTACACATTTTTTTTTTTTTTTTTTTATTAGAAAGGCTTATCTATAATATACAATAATTAATTATTACTGTATATTATTTTTTATTTGTGAAAATATATTTTATGAAATGAAGTCAACCTAATAGTGTGAATGTGCATGGTATTTATATACATACATATATATATATATATTTTTAATACAATTTTGTTTTGAAAAAAAATTTATAGAGATATATTTTGCATACCTGTTTTGAGAATTAGTTATAATTATAAAAGAGAGAAAAAAAAAAAAAATTAATATTTATAGTTCTTCCGTTTAAGAAAAGTTTTAAAATGTTTAGAAAGAAATATAATGTGTTAAACATTTTGTGTAAACATGGGAAAAAAGAAAATTTATCAAAACGTTCTATAAATTCTGATATCGAAACGTCAAAAAAGTGGAAGATAAGAGGTGCACTGAATAAATGGCTTCTGTTGCTTAACACTTTTGTTATTGTATTTTTAGTATCAAAATTTGAGTATCCAAGTAGTAATGTAAGATAGTAATAGCATATATTATCTATATATTTTCTTCCTCCCCCACCTCTACTTATGTTTATTTCTTTTACAGTTTTCCCCATTTTTTACAACTGTTGAAAAGATTAAACATGTAAGACGTTACACTATACGAAAACAATGGTGTGTATTACACACTTCTTTTTTTTTTCTTTTTTTTTTTTTTTTAGTGCATTTCTAATAAACCATGTGATGGGGATAATAACCAAGAAAACATATATTCTTTTGGGGGTAATCGAATGCTAAGAGAAAATGAATACATTGAGGAAACAAAACATGACAGTGTAGTCTTAGATTTCTCGCGTAACCTACGTCACAGGGAAATTAATGGAAAATCCAGCTTTAAGAAATTAACAACGAAATTAGATAATAGACAGGAAAAGGAAAATTTGCAAATGAATCAAAAAGGCAAAAAATTATTAAAAACAGAATTTAAGGGAAATTTTTTAAAAAGGGAAAAGAAAATGAATCGAATGAATAAAAAAGAAAATATTAATATATATGATTATGTTCAGGATATTTATGATGTATATAATAATATTAATGATGGTTTGGATTCATATGAAGGAAATGAATCTCTTATTTTTTACAAAGATAATATAAATAAGGACGAGGAAAGTTATAAAAAATTGTACACTAATGATAATTTGTGCGAAAATTACGATCAACAAGAAGAAGAAAACGAGCCCGATAATTATGATCCTAACGAAAAGAATTATTTAAATAAAAATGGGGATGATGGTGAAGAAGGTAATGATGAAGATCAGAAGGAAGATGAAGACAGAGAGGACACTAAGGATTATAATGATAAGGATGATAAGGGTAATGATGATAAGGGTAATGATGATAATGATAAGGATGATAAGGGTAATGATGATAAGGGTAATGATGATAATGATAAGGATGATAATGATAAGGATGATAATGATAAGGATGATAATGATAAGGATGATAATGATAAGGATGATAATGATAAGGATGATAATGATAAGGATGATGAAGATAAGGATGATAATGATAAGGATGATAATGATAAGGATGATGAAGATAAGGATGATGAAGACAAGGATGATGCAGACAAGGATGAAGATGGAAAAAAAGGTCAGTGTCCATTTAAAGGAGAATGCTCAGAAAAAAAGGAATGTCCATTTAAATCAGAATGGACAGAAAAAAAAGAGTGCCCATTGAAAAGTGAATGCTCAGAACAAAAAGAGTGCCCATTTAAACCTGAATGCCCATTTAAAGACGGTGACGTAGAAAAGAAGGAATGCCCATTTAAACCTGGATGTCCATATAAAGACGATAACACAGAAAAAAAAGAGTGCCCATTTAAGTCTGGATGTTCATTTAAAAACGGTAGCGTAGAAGAAAAGGAGTGCCCATTTAAAGACGGTGACGTAGAAAAGAAGGAATGCCCATTTGAATCTGGATGTCCTTATAAAGACGATAACACAGAAAAAAAAGAGTGCCCATTTAAATCTGGATGTCCATATAAAGACGATAACACAGAAAAAAGAGAGTGCCCATTTAAATCAGAATGCACAGGAAAAGAAGAGTTCCCATTTAAAAGTGAATGCTCAGGAAAAAAGGAATGTCCATTTAAACCTGAATGCCCATTTAAAGACGGTGACGTAGAAAAGAAGGAATGCCTATTTGAATCTGGATGCCCATATAAAGATGATAACACAGAAAAAAAAGAGTGTCCATTTAAACCTGGATGCCCTTATAAAGACGATAACATAGAAAAAAAAGAGTGGCCATTTAAACATGGATGTCCATTTGAAAACGGTAGCGTAGAAGAAAAGGAGTGCCCATTTAAACCTGGATGTCCATATAAAGACGATAACACAGAAAAAAAAGAATGCCCATTTAAAAATGAATGCTCAGAACAAAAAGAGTGCCCATTTAAATTAGAATGCACAGAAAAAGAAGGGTGCCCATTTAAACATGGATGTCCATTTAAAAACGGTAGCGTAGAAGAAAAGGAGTGCCCATTTAAACCTGAATGCCCATATAAAGATGATAACACAGAAAAAAAAGAGTGTCCATTTAAACCTGGATGCCCATATAAAGATGATAACACAGAAAAAAGAGAGTGCCCATTTAAACCTGGATGCCCTTATAAAGACGATAACACAGAAAAAAAAGAGTGCCCATTAAAACCTGGATGCCCATATAAAGATGATAACACAGAAAAAAGAGAGTGCCCATTTAAACCTGGATGCCCTTATAAAGACGATAACATAGAAAAAAAAGAGTGGCCATTTAAACATGGATGTCCATTTGAAAACGGTAGCGTAGAAGAAAAGGAGTGCCCATTTAAACCTGAATGCCCATATAAAGATGATAACACAGAAAAAAAAGAGTGCCCATTTAAAAACGATAACGTAGAAAATAAGGAATGCCCATTTAAGGCTCAATGCACCGAGAAAGAGGGATGTCCAATTACAGAACAGTACACAGAAAAAGAAGAGTGTCCATTTAAACCTGGATGTTCATATAAAGACGGTAACGTAGAAAAAAAGGAGTGCCCATTTAAATCAGAATGCACAGAAAAAAAAGAGTGTCCATTTAAAAGTGAATGCTCAGAACAAAAAGAGTGTCCATTTAAATCAGAATGCACAGAAAAAAAAGAGTGCCCATTGAAAAGTGAATGCTCAGAAAAAAAAGAGTGTCCATTTAAAAGTGAATGCACAGAAAAAGACAATGAAATAGAAAAAAAAGAGTGCGCATTTAAACATGGATGTCCATATAAAGACGATAACACAGAAAAAAAAGAGTGCCCATTTAAACCTGGATGTCCATTTAAAGACGGTAACGTAGAAGAAAAGGAGTGCCCATTTAAATCAGAATGCACAGAAAAAAAAGAGTGTCCATTTAAAAGTGAATGCACAGAAAAAAAAGAGTGTCCATTTAAACCTGGATGTTCATATAAAGACGGTAACGTAGAAGAAAAGGAGTGCCCATTTAAATCTGAATGCACAGAAAAAAAAGAGAGTCCATTTAAACCTGAATGCCCATATAAAGATGATAACACAGAAAAAAAAGAGTGCCCATTTAAAAACGATAACGTAGAAAATAAGGAATGCCCATTTAAGGCTCAATGCACCGAGAAAGAGGGATGTCCAATTACAGAACAGTACACAGAAAAAGAAGAGTGTCCATTTAAACCTGGATGTTCATATAAAGACGGTAACGTAGAAAAAAAGGAGTGCCCATTTAAATCAGAATGCACAGAAAAAAAAGAGTGTCCATTTAAAAGTGAATGCTCAGAAAAAAAAGAGTGTCCATTTAAAAGTGAATGCACAGAAAAAGACAATGAAATAGAAAAAAAAGAGTGCGCATTTAAACATGGATGTCCATATAAAGACGATAACACAGAAAAAAAAGAGTGCCCATTTAAACCTGGATGTCCATTTAAAGACGGTAACGTAGAAGAAAAGGAGTGCCCATTTAAATCAGAATGCACAGAAAAAAAAGAGTGTCCATTTAAAAGTGAATGCACAGAAAAAAAAGAGTGTCCATTTAAACCTGGATGTTCATATAAAGACGGTAACGTAGAAGAAAAGGAGTGCCCATTTAAACCTGGATGTCCATTTAAAGACGATAACACAGAAAAAAAAGAGTGCCCATTAAAACCTGGATGTCCATTTAAAGATGGTAACGTAGAAGAAAAGAAATGCCCATTTAAATCAGAATGCACAGAAAAAAAAGAGTGTCCATTTAAAAGTGAATGCTCAGAAAAAAAAGAGTGTCCATTTAAATCAGAATGCACAGAAAAAAAAGAGTGCCCATTGAAAAGTGAATGCTCAGAACAAAAAGAGTGTCCATTTAAATCAGAATGCTCAGGAAAAAAAGAGTGCCCATTTAAAAGTGAATGCTCAGGAAAAAAGGAATGTCCATTTAAACCTGAATGCCCATTTAAAGACGGTGACGTAGAAAAGAAGGAATGCCCATTTAAACCTGGATGTTCATATAAAGACGATAACACAGAAAAAAAAGAGTGCCCATTAAAACCTGGATGTCCATTTAAAGACGGTAACGTAGAAGAAAAGAAGTGCCCGTTTAAAAGTGAATGCACAGAAAAAAAAGAGTGTCCATTAAAACCTGAATGTTCAGAAAAAGAAAGTGGAGTTTTTATGGAGAAGGAGTTAAATTTGTATGGAGAAATGGAAAAAAAAGGCAAAGACTTAGCGGGAGAAGAATTATTAAATGAAGATCAACAATTTAATGATGAAGAACTTGCGAATGATTTACTAATGCTAGACCTAATTATAAATAACCAAAAATTATCAAACGAAGAGGAATTATTAGGAGAAGTAGATAATTCAATGCCAAAGGATGAAATAGAAAAAAAGGAAATAGAAGGCACAAATACAAAAGAAGAAACACCTAGTAAAGTTGCAGAAACACAAGATAGTGAAGTCTTCATCTCAGAGCTGAAAGAAACTTTACCAACAGAATTTTCAAAACTAGATCAACAGACAGAAGAAATAACAAAAGAAACAATAGATACAAAAATAGAAGCGAAAAGCATAGAAGAATCTTTAATGAAAAAGGAAGAGAAATTAAGTGTAGAAAAAGACGAAACAAAACAGAAAGATGTGATAGATGAAGGTACGATATCCGAAGAAGACAAAACACAGGATAAAACATTGAAAATAGAACAAAAAGAGTTTGAAAAAGAAGAAAAGGGAGAAGGAAAGAAAAAGGAAATGTTAAAAGAAGAGAAAAAGAAAAAGGAAGATGCTCTCAGCCATACTGAAGTTGACAAACTACAAAATAAAATAAAAAATGAAAAGAAGGATTCCACGGATAAGACCCAGTCACAGGAAAAACATGATTCAGAAGCATCCCAAAATTTAAGAGGACAATCTGATAAATTAAAAATAAATGTAAAAGGAGGTGTTGAATCAACGAAAAAATCTGTCAGCAACAATTTAGAACAGAACACATTCGTTCGTGAGAACAAAGAAGAAAAGGAAAGTACTGAGAAAAATGTGAAGAAGAGCGAAGATTCTAAAAAGGTAGAAGAAACGAAAAAAAAGGAAAGTACTAAAAAGGATAAGGAAACAAAAAAAACGGAAAGTGTTAAAAAGGATGAAGAAACGAAAAAAACGGAAAGTGTTAAAAAAGATGAAGAAACGAAAAAAAAGGAAAGTGTTAAAAAGGATGAAGAAACGAAAAAAAAGGAAAGTGTTAAAAAGGATGAAGAAACGAAAAAAACGGAAAGTGTTAAAAAGGATGAAGAAACGAAAAAAACGGAAAGTGTTAAAAAAGATGAAGAAACGAAAAAAACTGAAAGTGTTAAAAAGGATGAAGAAACGAAAAAGACTAAAGATGCTAAACAAGCTGGTGAATCTACACAAGCTACAGGCCTTAAAAAAGATTTAAAGGATAATACAAATGCTAAAACTAAATCAAATAGTTCTAGTCCTATTAAAAAAATTGTAGGTAAGTTACGTAAAAACTAAAAAAAAAAAAAAATACACGAAGACATATAATAAAAATTAAAAAGAATAACAGCAATATTTCAAGATAGTTTAGAGTATTCCCAGCGTAGACATTATGTCTATGAATAGAATACAACTAAATTATCACCAAGCTATTTATATATGATAATATATAATATTATCTAATGGAATTATTATAATAAATTTTTTTTTTTTTCCCTTATTAAATACACAATGATAGCATAAAGATGAAATATAAATATTTCATTGTAATGGGGGAATGTGTTTTTTTTTTTTTTTTTTTTTTTTTTAAAATAAAAGAATATCTCAAGGACATAAATACTATATTCTATTTATGATGTTTGTAGAGAAAAGAAAAATTCCCGTAAATCCCTAAAATCTTGTATAATATATATCTGTTTTTGCTTATAGCAAATGTAGTAATTAAGGGGGGAAAATATATATTCTCTTAAAAACGTCTATAGCACAGAGAAAATTTTATTTAATTTTATGCATTATATTTTGATGTTAATTTTTAACACAATAAAAGTCCTTTTATCTCAGTATTACATATATTGTTTTCATTTTTTATATTTATTTTATTTATGATAATCATGTACAATTTTTGTCCATAGTTTTTTTTTTTTTTTTTTTTTAATAAGTATTTATTTTTAATTTACATTAATATGTATATGCGTTATTGCATAAATACATATCTATGTATTACACACTATACATTTCAATTAATGGTTGATGTTTTATATTTAATTACACAAAATAAGCTATAATAGAATGTAATTAAAATTTATAGAATGATAAAGGACTGTATACACATATATATATTTTCTCTCTGTAACCGTTGAACGCTTGTGCCATGCTTTAACCTAACACATTATGTTAATTTAAAGACAAAAGTATACAACTATTCATTGTTTAGATGTTTAGAAATACATAAAATAAAAAAAAAAAATCCTGAAGAGACTCTTTTTCCGAATACATATTTTGGTAATAAGAATCATAACTTGATGTCATAAATAGCGCGTCTACATTAGATGCACTATTATGTAAATACCATTTAACTTTATTTTTCTGCAAGGGGAAATGCGACTCATAACATTCACATATATATATGTCGAAGTGTTTTTTTTTTTTTTTCCCTTTAGATAAGAGTAATCTTGGAACAATGAAAAATAACTCTAAATAGTAAAATTTTTTAATGAGTTTTTTACAAGCTTAGATTTCTAAGTATTCCTATAAATAATTTCTTATTATTAATTCATAAAAAATTTGAAAGTGTGAAACTTTTAAAGGAAATGGCGATGCAAAAACATCATACAGTGAATAAAAAATATTCTCTATTTTGCAACTTTTTGTATACATATAATTCCCCCACCCCATCTTATAAAATTCTGAATAATTCCCATTACGCTCTTCATTTGTTGTAAAATTTGGTGGATTTTCGTTGAAATCCATTTGAGCTTTTCCATACTAAAGTGGTCTAAATTATTATTTTAATATAAATTATATTTTTGGCTCACACGTTTTTTTAAAGAGAATTTTATTTTTTTGGCAATTAGAAGTTGCTAAATATTGTTAAAAATAATTATTTTATTATATTTAAAATAAAAAAAAAAAAAAAAAAAAAAAAAAAAAAAAGTACAACAAATTGTAATTTACAAGAAATTACATTGAAATATTTTTTCAACATGTATTTTTTTTTTTTTTTTTTTTTTTTCCCTTTGCAACTTAAGAATTTATTAATAACTAAGAAAATTAGTATTTTTTATTGTTTTCCATATTTAAAAGGGGGAAACAGAATTTGTATTTTGTCCTTTCTATTCGTGAAAATTTCTGACATTATTTAACTGGCAAAAAATTATATATGAGGGATTGTTGGTTCATGATATTATAAATAATATATATTTCCTATATTATGTATACATTAAGGAAACTTAATTATAGATATGAACGTATCTATTGATCATAACATTATATACGTGCACATACCGTTTCCCTATAATCCCTGTAAAAAATATATTGATAACACATTGTTGCACTACACCATACATCACATATAAACCCCATAGGATTTCGCGAAAAAGAGTTTTCTTTACGTTTTTAGTTAACTTTTATAATTAGTTTATTTTTACTTTTTTCTTGATACATATATGCATACGTGTTTATTATTTTCGTAAGATAAAGTGTTCATTTTATAATTGCATCTACGAGTATAATTTTCAGGAATTAAAACGCATGTATAGGTATATATACATGCTTATGTATATACATTTTTGTTGATAACATATATTGTATCTATTAACGAAGCATTGAAATATGCTACATAATTAATTACACACACATTTTTTAATGTGTTCTGAATGCTTGTATTTTAACAATGTTAATAAGCTGATTACAATCACATTTTACAGCGTGACTGTTAGAGTAAAAATGTTTTTTTAAAAAAAAAAAAAAATTCTCTTTCCCTCACACATGTAAATAATATATTATGCTCATTAATAATGAAGCATATATATTTTTGAGTTAACAAAATAATTATGAAGAACTTAGATAACAATTATACAACTGTTGAACAACATATATACTACACGCATTTAGATGACAAATTTTCTACGAAAACTTCAGCTTGTTTTAAGAAATGTTACAATCTATCGCCAAATTCAAAGGAAATTCTTTTTTTTACTGAAATTCTTGTCTGTATTGCTTTAATATGGACATGTTATTGCTTCAATACTGTAAGAAAAGAATTGCACTCACCAAGTGTTGTACACGTAGCTTTTTGGTCGTTTTTTTTTTTTTTATTTTATTTATTATCTAGTATGTTTTCTGTAAAACAGAACTTATTGTATTTTTTAAAAATATTTTTGTGTTTTCTTGTTTTAATATCTGTAGTATATTGCCACAGTTGAAATATGGAATAATGAGATAGATAACATATATGAGGGGTCAACTTTTAGGTCCAGTAGATCACTAAGCAAAGAAGAAAACAAAAGTTTAATAAATAATAAACACTGTACAAAAAACATAGCTGATTTATTAGAATTAGACAAAGATGCTATAGAAAAAGAGTATGCGTCATTAGTGTCCTATGGTTTAAAAAATAACACTTTTAAACTGAACATATTTGGAAAATACACGCCACAAGTATCAAATTTTGTGAACCAAATAAATAAAACGATTGATTTAGAATTACTGCGTGCCTTAAAATTAGATTATTATTTTTATCAAGACAAAAATTACTCCGTTTCTGTGAAGAAATCGAAACTTCATCAGATTAAACTGTTCTTTTGTAAATATAAAATATTTATACCCCATATCATTCTCTTTTTGGGAGCTATTATAGCTTCATCACTTAGAGAACCTTTTTCTTCAGTTATTTTAATTATTATGCTGTTCATATTGATAACATATTTTTTTGAAAGAACACGAAAATGCATATATATTGTGGACATGCAAAGAAAATATAAGAACACCCTCCTTGGTTTTGTGGATTATTAGTTCTTTTTCTTTTTTTTTTTTTTTTTTTTTTTTTTTTGTAACTCTGAAGAATGTTCAATCCAACCTTCTGCGCACACCCCTTAGATGATTTATATAATCATTATAAATCTTTAAAATTTAGCGCAATAAATTAGAATACATTTGAACATTCCAATATATATTTGTCTGTAATTATATATGCATGCATAAGTATACCTATGTGCCTGCATACTCGTAATTGCTTTGCATAATTTTTGTACATGCATGAAGCTTAACGAAAAATTTAGCTTTTTTAATTTTTAAAAGAATCTCCTAATTAAATTTTTAAATTAGTATAAAACACAAACACTTGCATTTGTGTTTTTTAATAAATAATACATATTGCTTATTCTGTTTAATTTACTATCAGTGAAGTGTATTTTTAAGAAAACTTTTTTTTTTTTTTTTTCATTCTTTTTTGGAATATTTATACAAAAAAAAAAAAAAAAAAAAAAAAAAATATTAAAAATTTTTTTTTTTTTTTTTTTTAATTTTAATTTTTTTTTTTTTTTTTTTTTTTTTTTTTTGAATTTTTTTTTTAAAAAAATTTTTTTTTTTTTTTTTTTATTTTTTTTTTTGAAATATTTTAAAAAAAAAAAAAAAAAAAAAAAAAAGGATTAAAACTTTTTGTTTTTGTATTTTTAGTAGTATATATCATTTAGATAGAATTTTATATAAATGTATACAATGTGCATAACACAAATTTGCTTTGTGCTTTAAAATAATGACTTGGGTTAACAACTCTTTTAAAACTGGCATTTTAAAAATCAAAAATACACAAAAATAATATTATTTAACTGTACTAGAATGTATTTTTATTTATTTATTTATTCTATTTTGGTAAACATATTAGATCGTACAAAATTTTTAATAAACATACAGCGATATTATAGTTCACTAACTTACAATATTTCTCTCAAAGTGTTAATGAAAACACAAAATTTTCTGTTTTTTCATACATGGAAAATATTACTCTACAACAGTTTGCTAAATTAATAAAATATTTGCTGGTTAACTAAATGGAGAATCGCTTATTCATATGTGAAATGTGGGTGTCTTAAATATAAGTAATTAGTAATTCATTGGGGATTAATACGTACATTATAATAATTATTAGTAGAATATTAATTTTTACTGTATACACAACTTAGGAAGAAAACACAGAGTATATAAGCTTACATTAGTGTATGTATTTTGTCACCATTTAAACATTATTTTTTTAAGAAAAACAAAATAACTTTATTGCAGAATTAACTCTAACTTTCCTTGAAAAATATCACATTTTTGAAATAGTTCATCCTGTTCCTTCATAAAAAGAGGAGATACAAATTAATTAAACATATATATAAAATAAATTAAGCTACTACAATGAATAAAAAAATATGCGAAAAGTATCCACTAAAAAAAATATTTTTTTTTTTTTTGTAAATATATAAATGTAAATTGTGCACTTTTACTATTCGATAAAGCAAATCTTAATATTAATACCAAACTGAATATATATATTTTATTGGACACTTGTTAGTAACACACAGTTTCCCCTTTATAAGACGTTGTTATTGTAATGAACTTCTGAATTTTAGAGTTGTATCAGAGTATATTATATCATTTTTTTTTGCATAAAATACTTTATATATTAAGAATTACACTGCTTATATATTATGGAATAATAAAACATGTATAAGATGTTGTTAAAATTGACATACACAAATGGTATATAGTTAGTATAAAAACTCTAATAATGAATCATTAGTATGGCAACGCTTCCATTTTGTATTTCTTTTTAAAAGTGTAAAAATTTCTGCAAATGGTAATTCTAAGAATAAAACAATTGTCTTTATATAATTTCATTAATATTGAATCATTATGGTTTGTATATAGAACTGTAAATATATCACATTATTTATGTTAAAATTTTAAAATGATTTTAGAATTTCCTTCGCATCGTAACTTTGTTACCAAGGAGAATGGGGTATAAGTGGAGCGTATAATTCTTAACGAGCACTACTTGGATAAGAAAATATTACTTGACTATCACACTAATCATCTATACTTTAATTAATTAAATAACTCATTTTCATGACATTAATTATATCTTTCTTCTATTTTTACTGTGTAGAAGAAAAGTAGTGTTTAAAAAACTAACGAAATTGTCGTAGCTATTAGAAGAATTAGCACTTTAAGAAATAAAAAAAAAATATGGTTGTAATTAAAATAAAAGGAACATCTAATTCATACATTTTTTTTTTTTTTTTCTCTATTTTGGAGCTATATTTTTTACATAAATTGGCATAGATATTAGGGAAAGGTTATTTCAACTTCCTCCGAATTTTTACTATTTATTTTGTTTTTTAACAACACGAAGTCTTTTTATTTATTCATTGGAATTTTTTAAAAACCTTTAAATTTCTAATGTAGGATATATATGCCCTTAATTTGATAACGCTCTTTACCCCACTATAACATATTTTTTATATATCATATAAAAAGACATAAAAGTTGAAAAAAATTAACTTCTCTTACTACAACTTATTATAAATCTGTTGAAAGAGGTTTATTTCAATCATATTTTTGAATTCTGTTTATTTAAAAAAAAAAAGGAAAAAAAGTACATGTTATTATAAGCTTTATGTTACATATATATATTTAAGTGATGGTATGTTTTTTTATATAATTTTATCGCTTTTCTGCATGTTTCATTCCTTCATCATGTATTTATTTTTCTTTGTTTTATTATTGTTTCAAAAAAAATATATTATAAAAAGAGTATTTTTAAGTATAATGTAGTGGCATTGTGAAAACAGCGACAATTCTTTAAACGCATAAAAGTGTTTCTTTTTTTCATGTAAGATTTTTTATAATAATAGAAAATCAATAATTTAGTATTAATATTGGTATTTTTATTTAATTACATCTTTTGGAATAATATTTCTAAGATTATATTTATATTTTTTTTTATATAAAAATGCTCCCTTTTACATAAAAAGTGCAATAAAAATAGTAGGCTGTTCTGAAATTTAAAAATTTTGTCTTTCATACGGTACATATTGTATGTTCTATATTTTACAACATTGTGTTATTTACATTTCATTACTAAGAAATTGTAAAAGATAACAAAATTTCCATTTTTTTTTAAAATATAGAAAAGCATTTCGCAAATAATTACATTCTTATAAAAAATTAAATGATAACATTTTGGAAAACTATGTAAAAAAGAGAAAATAGTGAAAATGCGTACATAGAAATGAATTTTTTATATATTTAAAAAATAAAAAAATAACAAAAATAACATAGTTTTTAAAAATAAGCATCCAAGTAAAAAGTTATGAGAGAAAAAATAAATATGTTCAAAGTTTTGAACAGAATTTGTATATTATCCCTTATTTTAACATGTGGAAAATGGAAACATTCTGATAATGTAAGGGTAAAAAATACATTTGAAACCTTACATATATTTTTTTATATAACGTGTTTATTGAGATATAATTATTTTTATTAAAAGTGTAAATGTTGAAATGAATTATTCGTAAAAATTGAATAAAATGCTTTTAATAATTTTTATAGTATACACTCTCTGGGAAATCATTTGGAAAGAAAGGGTTCTTTCATAAATCATTAAATTCAAGAGTTACACGGTTGCTTTTCCAAAAAAATATAACATTAGATGAGTTTTATGATGATGGAAAACAAATAACTATACCACAATATGGAGATGATGGATTGGATTGTCACAGTGAGGAACAGCATAATGAATCATTTAGACAAGAAGATGTTGATAATATATTTAGTAATGACACTTGGGATAGCACTTACACTTTGGGATCTTCGATACATGACACTATAAAGACAAATAAAACAAAGATTCCTTCAATACAAAAATATAAAGAACAAAAAATAAAGGAATTAAAAGGTATGAATAATGGTTGTGCTAAACATAGATCCTTTCTACCAAGCGTTACTAATTTTTTTCGAAAGTTAAACATATTTGTTGAATTAGAATTGTTAAATATGTTGGATAATGACAATTATTACAAACCCATTACGAATGGGAAGAAAAATAAAAGAGGAAAATTTAGGGATGTTATGCATATATATAGAATACTTTGTCCAGTTATAACTGGAGCATTTACAACATTATTATTATTACATATTTTTCCCCAACTTGGTTTTCTTACTGGGGTTTCAACTATTTTACTTATAATATATCTTTTAGCTAAAATATGGAAATGCCTATGCATACTTGACTCTACCGAAGAAAATATGCATTTGTAATTTTATTTTTTTTAAGGTTAACAGAATATTGAAGCGCGCCAATTTTCCCTAGAGAAAATACTACTTTTTATTCATTAATATGGCGTGTATCACTTGAAGATAGTACACATTTAGACTACACACATATTTTTACATATATGTAATTGTGTAAGATCACAAATGTACTTAAGGCTGATCTGCAAATAAAATTTTTAATTTTGAATATACTTACATGCGAAGAATTTATTAATGGTTTTTTTTTTTTTTTTACCACAATTATATATTTATACTTTATTCTTACAAGTGAATTATCATTTATTCAGGCTTTCTTTCTTTTTTCGTTTTTTTTTGAACAAGTTATTTTTTTTTCGTTCTATCAAAACTTGTGTAATTAATTACTAATTAATATAGTTATTTTAGTTAAATTGTTAAAAATATTATTGATATATGTATAGCACATAATATTAAAAAATTCTATTGTTAGAAAAATATAATTTTTTTCTTTTTCTGAGGTTAGATGATGAACCTATTTGAATTGCAAATATACTCCTACATGTACTAATTTTAATATAACCATTCATAGCATAGATTCATAAAAATGGAGAAAATGCGTTTTTATTGTTGTCACATTTGTCCTTATACACTCTTGTAAGTAATAAAAGTTGTAGCGAGAGAAGGGGTATTATATGAAATATTCCGTGTAATGTAATTTATGTATGTATGTTTCTAAAAAAAAATATGAACGTACTTCTTTTATCATTTTATAGTGTAAAAAAAAAAAAAAAAAAAAAAAAAAGAAACATGATAAAAACATAATAGATTAAGAATCATCTTTTGTAAAATTAATAATTTATGAAACTCTACAAAAATTTTCCTTCCTTTTTTTTATGGGTTATATGTGTTCAGATGCTTTGCAAAAGCGTATCATTTATTTTCTACCTTGTAAGCCTAAAATGAAGTTTTACTAATTAAAGAAGCATAAAAATGTTACTCTAGTGTGATTCAATGCACATATTTGTATACCCATAACTACATATGAATGAACATTAGGGAAACATTTAATACATATATTTTGCTCCTGTACCGCTGACATGTATCATGTTTGTAATACCTTAGATCTAACTAACATTATAAGTTTACAAAATAAGACTAAAAGTTTTGTCTATGTATCAAATTTCTGAAATTGCGTTTACATAATTTTGATAACGATTATTTTTCATATTTTTAACGAAATTATATATTGGGGTTTTCTTTATTTTTTACAGTCAAGAATGTATTAAAAATGCTATAATTATAGTTATAATGTAAATTTCATAAAATAGGATGAAACGAATTCAATACATATTATCACTTTATTTTTAAAACTTTCCATTTCCTAGATAACTATGTGAACATTTAAAATTCACATAAAACCAGCTATATTACAGAAAAATTAAAACAACAAAATTGAAAATAAGTTAATACTTAGATCGATCAATTTCAAACACATATTATATTGCTCTGTCGAATAATATTTTTTATTATTTCGCTACATTATAGATTATATAAATTATATCGAAAAAAATAAATTATACATAAAAATTAATATTTAGCATATTTATTATTAGAAGATATGAACTATGGTGTTATGAACCTGTGAACATTATTTATATATAGTGAAAAAAAAAAAAAAAACAAATAAATAAAAAAGGCACAAAAAGGGTACTAAAAAAACCACATTTACAAAATTATTTTAATACGTACCTTGTGATAAACGTTCTTATATATGACAAAAAAAAAAAAGGAAATGTTACTCTTAATTAACAAAAGCGGATATATGTACTTTTTTCTGTCTTATTTAAAATAAAGATTTCACAATATTAATATTGTCTTAAGCTTTCATTAAATATTATACATTTTAATATTCTTCCAATGTGTTAAATGAAAAAAAAAAAAAAGAAAAGAAATAAAATAAAATAAAATAAAATAAAAAAGAACTAGAATGCGTACAATACTTAAAAATGGAAATACGCGTTTTAATAATGGCACCAACCTATTTAAGGAATTAAAACTATCCGTTACTTATTAAAAGATTACCCTATATTATAATATATAAATAACAATGATAAAACTATTAAAGTAAATGTGTGAATACTGTCATGCTTTGAAGTTCTTATAAAAAAAAACTTGTAATAGGGTATAATTTTTTTTAAATAATAACATTGATACGTTTTTTTTTTTTTTTTCCCTTTTTATACCTACGTTTTCAAGTACTTCGTTTTATTAGAATCATGTGATTCGTTCAAATACAAGTTACGCTGATTTAATGAATATAATCAACAAAAATTTCATCTGTTATTTAAATCAAACTTAAGAAAAATCAATAAGGGAAATTTATATATGTCAATATTTGTACTTGTTACTTTTCATATTTTTCTAATTTAGACAAAATGTTCTAACACAAAGGTTTTTAGATATAAATCAAGACTTTGCAAGTAAAAAAAAATAAAAATAAAATTCGTGTGAATTTTTTATTTACTTTTTGGGACATACGGAATAAAGAAAGCTCTTTTAAAAAAAAAAAAATTATAGGTAAATCCATTAGTTCTAATCCTCCACAAATACAACAAGCGTTATTTGCGTTTTGCTTACATTATATTTACTCTGTAAAAACGAGTTCTTGGTTTCTCATATTATGTATAAACACGTAGTTTCATTCTACCAAAAACTTGGCATAAAATTATATTAAATTAAAGATTGAAAAATGTAGAAAAATATATATTCATATTTTTACAAAATAAATTTATATGAAAGCATCTATTATATAACGTTCATTTAGTAATAAATAATTTTAAAATAAATTTATCATCCTAAGTTTATTATCATATTAAAATAAACAGTAATTTACAAAAAAAAAAAGTACTCTTTCTTTTACAATATATATATATATATAATATCATTTTTTCTCATGAAAGGAAATAGAAACTAATAATGTACTTAAAATTTACTCCTTTATTTTCTTCTTTTTCTTTTCTTTTTTTTTTTTTCATGTAATGATTGCGGATTCGTGAAAATTATATTAATTATTTACTATTTTTTATTCATGTAAAATAATATATCTAATTGTAGATCAATATAATAATTTCTGTTAATCATATAATACATATACATAAAAGAAATATACATTAAATGTATTTTTAAAATTTTTATTTGCGAAAAAAAAGATTGCCACTCGCTTATACCATTGTAAGCCCACTAATGTAAATGGATAATGTGGTTTTTTTGATAATATCCAAATTAATACATATAAATAAACATATAATAATGGATGTACTAAAAAAAAAAAAAAAAAAAAGATGAGTTTATTTTGAATCATAGGTTATAAAATAATACGTAAAATAAAGATGCATATATATGTACAATACAACATAATTTATATGTTTCATATCATTTTGCGTGCATTGTTACATTTCAATGTTTATTCTCTATTTCTTATTGTAAAAAAAAAAAATTTTTTAACACTTAATGCAATTCAAGAAATGTTCATTAGTAGAACTACATGCAATTATATTTAAAAATTTTCTTTAAAATTTAATCTTTAGTCTCAAATTTACCACTTTTTTATATATTATTTTATTTTTTTATTTAAATGTACTACCTACTATCGCGTATCTGACGGGGTAATTTTTTACGGGGCAAGGAAAATTATCCTTTTCTATAAAAAATCATAGAAATTTTATTTATATTATTATTTCCAAAAATTTATTTAATTTTTTTTTAAAATTAAGAATTATTATTTATATTATTTTAGCAGAGCAAATATTTAATAAATGCTGTTTTAGAATTTTTAATTATGTGCTTATTGAACAAATATAATAACATTTTATTTTGTTGTTTTCATTTGCTCTAATAAAATTGTAAATTAAAAGTTTTTAGGTAACACAATTAAAATATTTCGGAATTATGAACTTGTCACCTTAATTATGTTTTTTGCAAAACATGTTTTAAGATTTGTTATGCAGAATATATATGTTTGCTTCTTTTCTTTTTGATAATTTGGAGTTAATTATTTCGAAAGCTTGAATTAAAACAAAATTAATTATTCTACATTTTACATTTTTAATATTTAATTTATTCGATTCATTTATTTTAAAAATTGATTTTACATGATATTTCTTTATTAATCTTATTATTATTATTTGTACATAGAAGCGGGAAATATATTTTTTATAATTTTTCCCTCTTTAGTTTACTTTAACTATAATTTAAATATATTTTGTGCATTATATATTTATATTTTAGTTAATATAAAGTTAAATTAAAAAATGTTTATAATTCTAAAAAATATAGAAAATGACCAAGAACAAAATCACCCCTAAGACGATTGAGCATTATCGAAAAATCAGTAATATAGACAACTATCCATTTGTTAATAAGGATGTAGAAACTTTAAAGGAATTCTTTATGGGTGAAAAAATAAATAAATTTGTCTTTTTTTTGGTTAAAACATGTACAATTGTTATCCTAATATCAACATGGCCATATTCCGATGAAGTAAGGCAAAGACACGAATTTGCATTTTAGGAATTGTCCTATATCTTTTTAATTCATGCATACAAGCTATAAACGAATATTTACATGAATATTAGGAAAGAAAAATGCTTATTTTATTTTATTTTTTTTATATGTAAACATAATGAATTTTTATTTTAATTTTCGCAGGCTAATGTAACTACAACTTTTGGTAAAACATGGTTTAACAGAACCAACCTAAATGCATTAGATACAAGGTCGAGTAGATTTCTAAATGGAGAAGAAAACATAAACAACCAACGAAAATATGAAGTTCATAGTGATATTGTAAAAGACAACTTGAAATGGAATTATAATTATTCTGAAAGAAGTGCACATGAATCATTTAATAATAACAATTTTGAAAAACATTTAGGCCATTCAGAATATCACAATAATAATTATGATAGAAATGCTAATGTTCTAGCTAATGAAAACAACAATAATAACAATAATGATGAAGAAACTTATGATAAATCAAATTATGCTGGTAATTCCGGTGAAAAACATGAGCAATTAAAAGACAACAATAATATGGGGAAAAGGATCGACCCGATGGATCACTACAATAATTTTAAGGAAAATTTGGATGAGGAACTACTTGACGATGGTTTTAGACGTGAGTACAAGCCACAAAATATTATTGAAAGAAATTCTAAAAATGAATCTAATCAAAATCATAGTTCTATTATGAACGATAAGGAATCACCCGCTTCTACACGTTCTGATAAGAATGCTACAAAATCTCATAGTTCAGATGAGGATGATGAGGACTCCGAAGAACTACATGCAGCGTTAGAACATTATAATACTTTTAAAGAAGGAGTTACTGAAAGCAAACTTGATGATGATTTTGACAATTATGAATCATCAAAAGTTGGTAGGAATGCAAATGCACACGTTGGAAATTTTAAAAATGAAAATAAAATAAACACAATGCGTGATGAATTAGAAAATGATAGAAGAATGATCAACAGGGATAATTTAGAAGAAAGGAAAGGTGCCACTGATAACACTCAGTTTAAGAGAGAAAAAGGTTACAACAATTATAATGAAGAAAAAGAAGATGATTCAGAAGATGATGAAATTTCAGAGAGAACAGAGAAATCATTAGAATATTACAATAATTTTAAAGAAAAGTATAATGAAACAAGGTTGGATGACGATTTTGAAAAGGCACAATTATCATCCAAACATGGTCATCGTGGGAACGGGAGAGTTGATCATATGAAACCAAATTATAATGAAAACAATGAATATAATAATAAATTAAAGGATGATAAAATGAACGATAACATACATTTTGAAAAATATGGACGTAACAATAGATCAAGTGGACCATCTGGGTCACCAGCTGTTAATAGCAATTTTTCTATGCAGAATACATTAAAACATGGTGATAACCCGCACAGACATAGTGGTGCACATGGAAATGGAAACTATGGCAAAAATTATGGAATGTTAAAAGGTGATGAAAATAGAAACAAAGGGTTTCATCAAGCTAATAACGACCATGATAATGAAGAGAATGATAATGATAACCAAGATGAGCACGATTTTGAACAAAATTTTGATGATTTACAAAAAAATAAAAATACCCCCAGCAGAATTAATGCATTGGAATATTACAATAATTTTAAGGTACAAGTTAATAAAGAACAACTTGACGCTGATTTTGAAAAGGGATATATATTAGCAAAGCCTAGCCATGATGGAAAGAGCCATTTTGATAAATTTAACACTGATGACAAAATGGAAAAAGGTTTTGGTAACTTCAAGGGTGGTGATCCTAGTAAGAACATCCCGCATGGTGCATTAAATGTGGATTCAAAGGGTGGTTACAAAAAAGGTGATAATTTCCCCTCTAATAAAGACACCTTAGGAAAAAAGTTTGACAAATATAAGGATGGTGATGCTAATTTTAAAAACCTTCATGGCTCCTTAATGCGTATTGTCAATATGGACAAGCGTTTTGATAATATTTATCATGATGATTATAACCCAAAACATAACCCATCAAGAAATGATAGGGACGACAACCGTGTGACGAAGCAATATTCTGATGAAAACCTTGATGATGAATTTGAGGATTATTTTATAGAACGCGAAGAAAATAGTGGCACAAACGAACGAGCTGATGCATTGAAACACCACAAAAATTTTAAAGAACAAATTGAAGCAGACAAAATTGACGACGCTTTTCTAAATCGTCTTGCGGCTTTAAGAGACCATGATTATTCAAAAAAAAGTGTGAATCCATTCACAAGTGATATGAACGCTAAGAATAATTTTGCTGAATTCACAGGTTCGAATAACAAGAATAAAAATTTTAATCGATTTAGAGATAGTGATGATACATATAATGAATTTGATAAACGGATGAATAAAGAACAACACAACGCAAATGTTAATAAATTAGGGAATAATAATGTAAATTCAAAACCAATGCATGATGATTTAAGCTTAGTTGATGATGCTGTCATGGAGAAACAATTTGATATGATCCAAAATAATAAGAATTCAGAAAGACGAGCTGGTGCATTGAGACACTACAAAAACTTTAAAGGAAAAGTTAATAAGAGTGAACTTGACGGTAACTTTGAAAGGGGATATACAAGATTAAGTAATCAGGATACTTTTAAAGGTGGCAACAAAAATTCTAACAGAAAATTTGATAAATTTAATAATGATGATAATATAAACAAAGGACATAATGGATTAAGAATGAATCCAAACCATCATGATAATCGATACAGTATTAAGCCCCAAAATAACGGGAGTAATCTCCAATCCCCATTTGAAGTATTGAGAAACTCCGGGAGTAATCCCCAACACCATTTTCATGCTTTGAGACACAATGGAAATAACAGCCAAAACACATTTGATGTATTGAAAAGAGAAAAAAATAATCTTAATGAAAATTTCGATAAATTCAACAATATTCATAAATTTGGAAAGCAAATGGACACTTCAAAGCTTTTTGAAAAGAGCGATAAGGAACAACCAGATGAATTAAAAAGGGGTGAACATGTAAAAAAACGTGAACCTCAGGGCAGCAATGATTATGATGATGAGGATGATGATGAAGATGAGGACGAAGATGATGACGAAGATTATGACGAAGATGATGACGAAGATGACGATGACAAGCATGATGACAAGAAATATGATGGTGATAGACGTAGTGGTGATAGAAATGATGGTTATAGACGTGGTGGTGATAGAAATGATGGTGATAGGCGTGATGGTGATAGACATTATGGTGATAGACATGATGATAGACATTATGGTAATAGACCTGATGGTGATAGAAATGATGGTGATAGAAATGATGGTGATAGAAATGATGGTGATAGAAATGATGGTGATAGACATTATGGTAATAGGCATGATGATAGACATTATGGTAATAGACATGATGCTGACAAATATTATGGTAATAGACATGATGCTGACAAATATTATGGCGATAAATATGATAGCGACCAATATTATGGTGACAAATATGATGACAAGAAATATAATAGGGATCAATATTATGGTGATAAACATGATGCTGAAAAATATTATGGCGATAAATATGAAAGCGACCAATATTATGGTGATAAATATGATGACAAGAAACATGATAGGGACCAATATTATGGCTATAAATATGATGAAAAGAAACATGACAATGCCGGATATGATGACAATCACAAAAATAAATCAGAAGAGAACGAAAATAATAGGGAACCTCATGAGTTAAAAAATTCTGATGAGGGTGTGGATATAACGAAGAAGATATTGGAAGGTGCAGAAAATGCTAATGAACAATTAGATGAAGCTCTAAAAGACGCTACAAATGCTAACGAACAAGGAGATGACACTTTAAAAAATGCTGCAAATACTAATGAACAATTAGATGAAGCTCTAAAAGACGCTACAAATGCTAACGAACAAGGAGATGACACTTTAAAAGACGCTGCAAATACTAACGAAGAAGTGGATGATACTTTAAAAGATACTTCGAATACTAACGAAGAAGTGGGTGATACTTTAAAAGATGCTACAAATGCTAACGAACAAGGAGATGACACTTTAAAAGACGCTGCAAATACTAACGAAGAAGTGGATGATACTTTAAAAGATACTTCGAATACTAACGAACAAGTGGGTGATACTTTAAAAGATGCTGCGAATATAGAGGAAGAAGCTGATGATACATTAAAAGATACTGTTAATTCTAATGAACAATTATATGATAAATTGAAAGAGGGTGAAGGTTCTAGAGAAAAGCTTAATGAATTAAAAAATTATATACAGCACAAGAAAAACTTTAATATAATAAAAGACAACTGGATGGGAAAGAAACAGACAGATGAATATGAGGAAGACGAATATGAGGACGATGAGTATGAAGATGATTATGAAGAAAGTGAATATGAACGTGATGAAAAAGAACATTATTATGAAAAGGGTGAAAGTGAAGATTATAATGAAGACGATAAAAGTTATCAAAATTATAAAAAACAAGTAGGTAAATTTAAGACTGATAATGAGAATAAAAAATCTAATAAAAATATAGAAACCCAAGATATAGATAACCGAAAATACATTAAGTTGAATGATGATGATGATAAAGTTAGCAATGCATCCTATGCATCAAAAAAAAGTGGTGATCAAGTTAACAAAAAATTTGGTAAATTAGAAGATGATGACAAGGATAGCAATGCATCCGATGCTTCAAAAAAAAGTGGTGATCAAGTTAACAAAAAATTTGGTAAATTAGAAGATGATGACAAGGCAAGCAATGCATCCGATGCTTCAAAAAAAAGTGGTGATAAAAATAACAAAAAATTTGGTAAATTAGAAGATGATGACAAGGCAAGCAATGCATCCGATGCTTCAAAAAAAAGTGGTGATAAAAATAATAAAAAAATTCGTAAATTATATGATAATTTTGATTATAGATCTATAACTAATAGCCTAAAAAAGATTGATGATAATTATAAGAAACGGGCTGATGCATTAATTTGGAACACTAATTGCCAGAATATACTACTGAATGCAATACAGCTCACTGATGATTTCAAAAAACATTTTAATACCTTGAAAAATGCTACCACTTCAGACAAAAGATATGAGGCAAGAAAACATTATCAGGACTTTAAAAAGAATGTTAAGATTTCAATGCTTGACAATGATTTTATGAATGGAATAAATAGATTAAAGACTCGTAGTAATATTATGAAACTACCAAATGAAATAAAAAAAAATGAAAATGGAAATAAAAAAGTGGATAGTGTAAGAGATGATGAAAATGTGAACAAAAATCATGATAAATCGAAAAACGATTATAATGTTGATAAACATGTAGGTGTACCACAGAATAATGCTGGTTATACTGAAGGAAAGAATAATGATAAGAGAGATGGTGATTTTAAAAATGGTTACAATGCAACAAGTGATGGCGACTTTGACAATAAGCCTGATAAATTAAGATTTGATAGCAGGAATAAGAAAACGTTTGATAAGACAAAAGATGATGATGATGATGAAGAAGAAAACGAAGAAGACGAAGGTGACGATAATGATAATTATAATACTAGGAACCCGTTTATTGTATTAAAAGAAAATGAAAAGGAAAAGGGAAAATCTCTTAAGTCGAAAGATGCCTCTGGTTATGATTACTCAAAAAATCCATTTTCTGTATTAAAAGATAATGAAAAGCCTAAGAAAAAAAATTATAAATCTAAAAGTGATTCTGATCATAATGATTCTAGAAATTCATTTTCTGCATTAAAAGATAATGAAAAGCCAAAGAAAAAAAATTATAAATCTAAAAGTGATTCTGATCACTATGATTCTAGAAATTCATTTTCTGCATTAAAAGATAATGAAAAGCCTAAGAAAAAAAATTATAAATCTAAAAGTGATTCTGATTACTATGATTCTAGAAATTCATTTGTTGAATTAAAACGTGATCAGAGGATCAAGAAAGGTTTTGGCCGAGACGTCGATGATGATAATTACTATTCTGATTATAAAAAAACATCTACTACATTTAAAAATGAATATGATGATGATGATGATAAGCAAAATCAGAAAAAACAAGAAAATTTTTATAACAAGTATTCTTCAGAACCCTCTAAGGTAAGAAAAGTTTATGATGATGATTCTGTTTCTGAGAAAGACTTTAATGATGCAAAAAATGAAGAAAAAGAATTGGAAAAAGAAAACCAAATAAAAAAAGATGAAAAAGAAAGCGAAAAAAAAGAAAAGGAAAAAGAAGAAGATGAACAACAAGAAGAACAAGAAGTAGAAAAGGAAATAGAAAAGGAAGTAGTAAATGAAGTAGAAAAGGAAGTAGTAAATGAGGTAGGAAATGGAGAAGGAAATGAAGTAGAAAAGGAAGTAGAAGAGGAAGTAGGAAATGAAACAGGAAATGAAGTAGGAAATGAAGTAGGAAATGAAATAGGAAATGAAGAAGGAAATGAAGAAGGAAAAGAAAACAAAACAGAAAAAACAAATAAAGATGAAGACGATTATGACCCCGAAAAGCCTTCTGATACATTAGAAGACAAAGAAAAGTCTGAAAACATATTGAATACATTAAAATGTAATCAGGAAAATGTTGAAGGTATTCATGATGAATTAGGTGATACATATGACATCGATAAGAGATATCGTTCATTAGAACATAATAAAGAAGATTTCGATAACTTATATCATGAATTAAAATATAACAGTCAAGAATTTGATAAACTTTATAACAACGTGAAAGATTATGATAAAGTTGATGAAGAATCGCCCAATAAAATAAAAGACAAAGATGATAATGTTTCTGTTAAATCATCTGATATTTCAGATAATGATGCTGGCTCAGTGAAGTCATATGATGAGTCAGAAAAGGATGATGACTCGGTGAAATCATCTCATGATGTAAGACGTAAAAAGTACACACATAAAAAATCTGACGTATTAAGAACTAAAAATTATCATATGGAAAAGTCCGAAAATATTAGATGCAATGAGCAATTGTTATCAAAACAAGGTTTCACCAGACGTAATGGAAATAGTAATAATCGAAATGATAAAGTAAACAATAATAATGAAAATAAAGATAAAAACATTAATGTAGAAAAAAAAAATAATATGAATCATTTAAAATTAACTGGTACGCCTAATGATAAAAGATTACCTCCACAAAAGGAATCACAAGGCATTTCGTTTAAAGAGAAGTTTAAAAATAAAAATAAAATTTTTTCAAAGGCTTATAAGCTTTTAAAAATAGCAGATTTCAAGTTTGAATTAGAAATGATGTATTCAATGAAAGCAGTTATAACGAGTGACGCTTTCTTGATCAAACCTGAAACAAAAGCAAATAAAGCATTATTTCTTATGAAAAAATATAAAATACTTACGCCAATTTTGTTAACCTTGATATTTTTAATAATATTTTCTATAGCTGCATTCGACAAGATAGCCATGGGTTTTGTTTTCGTGCTTATAGGAATGATAATTTACTATAATGTAAAATTATTTAAGTGTCGTAAAATGAACAAAGTTTTTAAGAAATTTTGCGAGGATAACAAATTTAAATTAAAATAAAATCACAAAGAAAAAAATTATTCTAAAAAATCATTTAGTATAATGTAAAAATTTAATTGAATTAAATAATTCATTATTTCCAAAATGGTATATATACATGTATATAATATGTAACGCTATGTTTCATAACATTTGAGGTATGCCCATTTTATATGCTCTTTTCATTCTATATTATTTGTAATTTTATATAGCTCTCTTTTAATATTAATAGGCTATTTACATGTTTGTTAATTGGAATTTATTTGTTATTGTTATAAAAATATACGTACTTTAAATGATATAACTAATTGTCGTTATATATATATATATATATATATATCTATATATATACACGCATATATTTTTTTTGATGAATTTGTTTGTTTACTCTTATTTTATGTTTTTTTTAATTAATGCTCGAAACAATAATTCTTAATGTCATTTGTATTGATTTATTTCCAAAACGATAATGCACGTTTTTTTTTTTTTTTTTTTTTTAATGTACATGAAAATTTTTATTAATTATCTATCCTTTTTTAAGAAATTTCAACATATAAAAATAAGTGTATATAAAAATATGCATTTTTATTAATTATACTCCGGTTTTATACCCCCGGTGCAGATGAAAATTCCTTAAAAATTCGCAAATCATCGTATATAAAACGGGGTCCATTTATTTATATTAACTTATAATTTAGCATATTTTCCAATTTCCCCTATTTAAAAAAAAAAAAATAACATTGTTATATGTATGCCTTCTTCTAATAGGAATAAATGTACGTTGCAATAATGATGTAAATTTATTATAAGTTTTATCACTCTTCTAAACATAGCACGTTCCTTCACTTATAAAATTGTGAAATATAAGTTCTTTTCCACTTTTTTTATAAATATATTTATTCTATATTTAATTAGGATTATAATTTTTTAAATACAAAAAGTATCATCCAAAGAAATCACAATACGATGAGTATAATTCAAAATTTTTATATTCTAATTATTAAATTTATCAGAAAATGGTTTTATGAATAATATAAAAAAGAATTACTAATAATAACTTTCTTATTCCTTGGAATGTTTAGTATTTTAAAAATATTCTTTTTTTTTGGAGGGATTTTTTTTTTTATGGTGTTGTAATGGGCATTATAATGGTACAAGAGTGTAGTACTATGAAGCAAAAAAACAAAAAATATATAGTTTCCGAGTATTACTGAAATTATAGATTTTCATAATTGTTACTAACCATTTTTGTGTATACATAGCATATTTATATGAAGTTAAGCATAAAGATCCAAAAGAAAGCATAGTGTAAAGTCAAATCTTCATAGGGAATCTTAATGAATACAACAAGCCAGGGTTATATGAACAAGCTGTGCATATTCATGAATTTTAAACTATTAGATTTATTAACACTATAAGAACTCTAATACTTACATATGTATGTATATATAATATAGGTACGATTAAATATCTATCTAAATATAAGCTTATTAAAATTACATTTTCCGTGCTGTAATGAAATAGTTAGAGAATATCTTAGGAACTACTGCAAAAATGGTATTCTTCAAAATTTTCATAGAAATAAGAAGTATCAGAATATTTATGAGTGCATTATTACTTATAAAATTCTGCTTAACTAAGGATAAAACACAATTGATTGTGAACATATTTAGAATGTATATTTTTTTTTCTTTGCTCATTTTTCATATTTATTGTTAAAATTTTTTTTAAGGAAATCAATTCACACTTTTTACTGAAAATCATTTAAATGGATCTTATAAAATACATATTTTATTAATTAATTAGGTCTTTGCGTCTTATTCACATTAAACTTATGTAAGTTTTTATTTATAGACATAGCAGTTATGTATATACATATATGTGAAGACCAACTGATTAAACATTTACCCTTAATTTTTAGGTATTAAAGGTGCACATAGGGAAAATAAGTACGAACTATTGTGCATTTAATTGATATTTCTTGATAATGCAATTTGTTTTATCTGATAATAGATATATAACATTTTAGAATTAATTTCAAAGAATTCTCCTACTAATAATATTAAGGTTCATTACTTGGTGTACAAAAACCTTATAAAGATTACGTCATGTTTGAGGGTACTGGATGCTTGTATATCATGTGTTTAAAAAATTTACTTATATTCAATATAATCCTCTTTACATTTCTTAAACATTAATGTTGCATAAAATGCGTAAATATGCATATATTTTTTTTCTGTTACTTTTAAATACTAATTATAAACACATAAAAGTGTGCATAGATATATAAATTTAATGAAAGAGTATATCATCTTTTTGGTTTTCCACGATTTAAAGTTATACCTTTATATTAATTGAATATGCTAAATAATCGAATTTATAAAAATCTATTACAGATAAAGTGTTTATATAAGTGAATGACTCAAAATTTTGTGCTATAATAATATACTCATAATTGACATATAAATATGAGTGTTTTACTTTTGTATTACATAATAAATTGGTGGGATAATTGGAAAAATGGATAACTTATTATGTTACATATGTATTTACGTAAAAATAAACATTTAAGTATTCTAAAATAAGGAAAATATGACCTCGTTTTGTGATAAAAATTGCAAATGTAATGAAGAAAATATAAATGTATCTTATTTACATGTCTCTCCTTTTTTTCCCTGCTTAAACTGTATTATTATCATGCTATTTAATTTTATGGAAGGAATAACTAATGTTACAAGCATATATGAAGTAGGCAACTTATATATGCAATAGGTTTCATAACTCTTTATACATTCGTATAGAGAACAACTATAGAAAATTCTACTTATTGCAAAAACAGAGTTTCTAGTGTAACATACTGTAGTGCGTAACTGGAATTGTAAACATATATATTTACTTATTTAGGATAAGTGTATTAATTTTATTTACTCATTATTTGTAATGATAATCTTATATATTAAAATGATAATTCTCCTTATACCCTTGTGGAACAATTTTTTTAAAAGTTCAAAATGTGCTAGCTGTAGATAAAAAGATAAAAAAAAAAAAAGAAGAATAGATATACACAATAATGTCTATACAATTTTTAATATTTTTATTTAAAATTATACAATTATTAAATTTACACGAAGCCAATATATTTTGGATTCCATTTAACCATAATAACATGTAAAAAAGGTATAAATACAAAATGGTATTCATTTTAATTGTTATATTATTTCTTAAGAAGAATTTCATGAAGAAGTTGTCACATATGTGTGAATATGTTTTTTATGTATAGGTAAATATATTTTTTGAAGTTGAGGTAATTTTCGAATAATAAATTATTTGCATTGATAACGCACTAATTTCCGTTAATTTATGTAAGATAAAAAACTAGAAATGTTTAACTCCATAATTCCAATGAAAAAGAACAAATTTATAATTATGTGATAACACTATATTCATTAATGTGTCTTTTTAGCTTTATTGTGTATGAGATGTACTCTATGTGAGCAATAATAAGGTGTGATAATTGAAAAGATAAATTAATTGTGCATGAATTATATATATAATAACAAAAGTTCATTCAATTTTAAAAAATGTTAATCTTTAAATACTAAATTACATCATTTCCTAGGTATATCAATTGAATTAATGTTTTAATATTGATTTTTAATGAGAACTATGCCGTTATTGTTAAAGAAGAATGGAGTTTAAAAATGTGTTAGTGTACAAACATAATTAATTACACATTACACAAGAAAAAACCGTTAATTGGAAAATTATTATATATTATACGATAATATTATTGTATATAAATTTAGATATATTTTATAAATGTCATATTGTTATGGATATTTTAACATTTATTTTATTTTTTCTCTTGTTAACATCTTGACTTAAAAGATAAGAACCCACAATAAAATATCACTTGATATTAGAAATATTTAAAACTTTTTAGTAAAATATATAATTCCATTTTGTGGATTTAATACAACAAAAGACGTAATGCAAATGAATTAATATCTGTTTAATTAGTATTTCCACAAAATATGCTTTATATTTTTATTTATGTTTATGTGCTAAGAAGGTAGAATGGAAAAAGTATGAATGTGTAATTTTAAATATGAAATGTTCTATGAGGTATATGACTTATAGATGCTACGCTTTAATTAAGAAAACTGGAAAACATGGAAATATTGAATATAAAACAGCTTCTCTGTATTCTTTAAACATATCCTTTGAATTAAAAATATGAATTTCTACATAAAATATGTTTTCATCCCTTTGATATTAATGCATTTATTATAAATAACATAATGTACATAAATTGATTTACCTAAACGGAAGATTAAATATGTTTAAGGGAATATTAATACATTTACATTAACAGAATAGAATCATTCATAAAAATAGGAATAAAAAAAAAAATTATGTGAACAAATTAATAAACTACTTGAAATAAATTGAAAAAAAAAAAAATTAATAAAATACAGCATATTATGGTATAATGCAATATAATACTATTATTCTTACAGTTTTATTTTTTTCATTTTCGTGGAAGAGGACAAGTATATGTGATGTATATGTTTAAAAATATGAATGTAACAAAAATGTAACAGTGTACTTAATGCTATGAAGCTGTATTAATTGTGTAATATTTCTACTTCCATCTTAGGCATTAACAATCTGCATCTTTTGAAAAGCCAAATTAATCTGTATTATTTAATTATATATGTATGATTGATAAACAATATTTATATGAAAAACGAATCCAAAATGAAAAAAGCGGATTCAGAAATACGGAGGTCCTTTGAAATTCCATATAAGGGGGAAAAAATTATACATATATATTTTCCACAATGCAAAGGATAATAATAATCACATAATATTATCAAGAATGTCATTACATATATGCTAAAAATAAATGAATAATAATTCCTATGTTGTAAATTTTTTTTTTAGAGAAGGTTAAATTTATATTATTACATGCTTAAAATAAAGGAACAAAAAAATGTTCCTGCTAAAAAAAAGTAAAAAAAAATATATATACATATAGACATAAGCAATTTGTTTTGTTGCCCACAAAAAAGAGGAAAATTTTTTGAGAACTATGTAAATTTACAACAAATAAGTGCACAATTAAAAATGAATTTATAATATCCATAATCCAAACAAGAAAAGATTGCGTTATTTTCTCACATTTTGCTAATTATTTTTTTCTTTTGACAATCTCATAATATAATGCTTTATGCAAATTTAATACAATTTTGGGGCGTCGATGCAGTTATGAATATATTTATTACAATATATAACAAATGAACAGTTTACACTATATTCCACAAGTGCTTATCTGTGGTTTTGGTGTTATGAATGAGTCTAATTTTTAGTTACAGAAAGCTTTTTGCAAATCTATGAATATCTAACATAATGGAAAAGATTAATATATAAAATAATTGTTCATAAAGTCATTTATGATTTGTAATGAGAAATTATTAATATAAAAAAAGGAATTTTTTTATAACAGAATGAAGGAAAAAAATATGCAAATTGTGAAAACTATTCTACAAACAAATTTACCCATAGAGGACATAAAATTTCATTATGACCTCTTAACATATAAAGGTACATTAATTTACAATAAGACTCTATGTAAAATCTTTGGAAACTGTTTGCAATGATTGTAACGTATTTTTAAGTTACATAATGACTCAGAAAAAGAAAAATATTAAATTATTTTTTTTTTTGTAAAATAGGAAGAATTAATTTAATCACACATTATTAATACACAATCAAACATTCGGTCTAGAAAAACATATTTATTCATACTGAGGAGTTAAAATTAACTATAATTTTAACGTACACATTAATCTTATTAAGAAGGTATATAAATATCATAGTGTAAAAATTATAACCTACTCCAAAAGACCTGATAAAGCCACTGTTAGAAAACTATTTGAAAAACGAACATTCTCGTAATAATGAATTCTAATATATTTACTATATGAAAAATAAAGACATATAATTAGATACATGTGTATATCTATTTTCAAAATGATTAAAGAAAAAAAAAAAAAATCATCGCAAAAGAAAACAAACTTTTAAAAAAGGCTTATTAGGATCAAGAAAATATTTATGTAAAAAGATAACCTACAAAAAAAAAAAACGATAAAATAGCAAGATTACGTTAATAAAGATGTATTTATTAAATATAATATTACATGTTAACAAGGTAAAAATTGCTTTAAAAAACATTTACACACACATATATATATATATAATGTGCAATGTGCTTCTCTTTAAAGTCTGATGTCAGTAATTTGCAGCTGAAACAATTTAATGTGTTCGTTTTAAAATTTAGTTGTTTTAATGCTAACTAAGAAGAGATATATATTTAGTTTTTCATAAATAAATCAAGTAAGAGGAATATATAAAAAATTATTTTTTAACTCATACATTTTTACATTTAACTTAGAGTTAATGCCTTAATCTGTTAATAAATGAACAGCGTCTCTCGTTAGGAGCCTACTAGGTGTGTATGTTTGGTTTTATTATTAAAATAAGAACCATATTATCTGAATGATCTATACATAATACGAAAGGATATCCTAATTTTTTATTTTATTTTTAATTTTATGTTTCAGTAAAAACATGAAAATTAATTTTTAAATAATTATTTTGTCAAAATTTCTTATTTCACATTAAGGCATTTATTTTATAATAATCTAAGTGCATTTATTAAATATTATAATACGTTATCATTTTATTATTTCATATATTTTTTAAAAATATCTCTACTATTCTGCTTCTTCATGTAAAATTTATCACAATAGAAATGTTACATAGTCAGGACAGTTTTTAGCTAATCATTATTAGGGTATATTATAGCACCATAGAACTATTTACTAGTTATGTGTTATTTCATCCATGATTGTAACAATGAACAATAATTGTTATATCAGTCTTTTTAATCATATAAATATAATTATTTCAATTTTTCGATTTCATTTGATTCAAGATAAAATGATTTATGTTCCGTTTTGGTATTAATTAATACAATTATGCCTTTTGTAATGAATAATGAATCATTTCACGTACAAAATTGTATTATTTTTAATAATGAAAAAATTAATCAATAGCATGTATATACTGTATGGTTTACATGATTTCATGAGCACGAATAATTATGCTCATATATATTATTTGTTCATTCAAGTGTTACTATAAGAAATGAATGTTTTTAAAAAAAGAAAAAAACTTTTTAATATACACTAAACTAATTTATATATATATATATATATATATATATATATATATATATATATATATATATACTTTTATACACACAAATATTATCTAATAACATTTGTATTATAAGTTTAGATGCATATTATATTTTTTGGAAATCTTGGTTTGCCTTTATCCCTATCATAATATGAATGCATTATATTTAACAATAATATGAATAGAATGATTCAGAATTAAGAGAGACTAATTCTAATATAATTATTTTCGCAAATATATATAACGTTTTTTCAAGAACAGATATATTTATCACGCTTTAATTACTTTGCCTTGGATCATATATCTGATATATTTGTTCTCTGAAAAAGATATAAAAAAACTATAAATTTATTTTTATATCTAAAAATAAATGATTTCCATTTTTTCTTTTCATTTGATTCTTAATAATAATTAAAAAAAAAATACAAAATATTACCAAATAAAAACGCAAAATACAAAATGATAATAGCAAAAGTAATAAAAAAAATTAAATTTATAAACTAATCTCAGAAAAGATGATAAATTAAGGTGACTTATTTTTTTAAAGGAATTTTTTTTAATAAATTAAATTTATAAATAGAAATATAAATTGTTAATTTATAAATTATAATTTTTATTGACTTATTGTTACATTGTTATGTTTTTTCTTAAATACTTTTTAATTCACTATACTAACCATAGTGCATAAAATGCAACTAAATATAAAAAATTGAAAATGATATAAAATAACAATGTTTATATTTATAGCTACTATTAGACAATAATTATGTATTGTTCAACTATGGTATATAGAAAAAAATTTTTATCATAATTTTTTTTTAAAATACAAGTTTCATTGTTCCACTTTCTATATTCTTCAAAGATATTAATATATAACAGAACAGTGCATAGAGTTCAAGTAGAAATCAAAAAAGTTAATATTTATATATGGATACTACAAATTAATTAACATTAAGTCTGTACATTATAATTTTCTATACAATTAATAAAAGGTACAAAAACATTGGTTAGGTTTAAATATAACTCATTTTTTTGTTTTCTGTCACAATATAAATAATATATGTTTATATCAATTTTTTTTTTTTTTTTTTTCATGTTCTTTTCATACCTAGATATTATGTTGGCCTTTAAAAATATCTTCAACTCATTTTTAGAATAAATATTTTATTAATAACATGAATAATTCATTATGGAATTCATTAAATAAAGAAAATATATACATAATATATGAAAAAAATATTTCGATAATCCTTTTACTTCAGCAATAAAAACACTAGAGAAAGATTAAAACAATACTTCAGAAATTGCAACAAAGTTACTTGCATAAGTATATTATAAAAACAAGATAAAAATAAAAGATAAGATGGAGATATATTTTTAAAGTAATAAAAACACTAGAACAAGCAGGTTTTAATATATTTATAAATTTTATTAAATTGTAATTTTTATTCTTTATATATCAATTAATAAGAATAATAGTTGTCATATATTTTTTTCATATAAGGGTGTAAATACATGTATATATATCTTACATGTAATATGCAATTTTTTCCATTTGGGGTCTCTTATAATGAACAACTGATGGAAGCATAAATATAAGGAGGAAAATTAGTCTACATTAATTATTTCACTGAAGTTACACATAGATTCATTAAAAAATATATTTCTGTGCATGCATGAAATATAAGAAACATTATTTTTGTATACGCATTTAAATTTAATTTGTTCTTTCAAAAATTGTTTTTCATATAAGATTTATATATATATACATGAACGAATTTTATATAATGTGATTTTTTCTTTATTCATATGCACCATTTTATTTGTGTTAAAAATGTTTCTTTAACAACATTAGTTCCTTATGAAAAAAAATGCACCATAAATATACTATGATATATATTGGTAAACATTCAGAGTATATTCCATGTTTTAAAATATATATATTAAAAAGAAACATGGTTATAGAATTTACAAATTCTGAAATTTGAAAAATTCAAAGTTATTAAAAAATAATATATATATATATATATATATATATATATATATATATATATATATATATATATATATATTTATGACTGCTGTTCATGCTATTTATTTTGTTAAATATTGCTAATTATTTCCTGAGATCTTTTTTGTTTCACTTAATTTTCTTAAATTAAAGTACAAATGTCCACAGTCATATGGAAGAAATAATTGGAGTAATAGTTTAATTCTATAAATAATCGTTTTATATTTTTTATTATTAAAATTCTATGAAACATAAAACACAATAAAATAAGGATTATTGATAAATTATATGTATTTCCTAATTTATTATTTATATTTTATAGAGTCCCCATCTGAAGGAGTCACCTTCCTATACATTTTATCAGAAACTGATAAATGAAAAGGATGTAAATAATGTAAGTCACTTCTGTAATAGTGCATTGAATAAATACAAAGATAGCAATTGGGTTTATAAACTTTGTGGAAATCTTATAAAAAATCTGGAATTGTTACGAGACGACAAGGATGATATTTTTCGTAAAAAGCATTGTTTTGATGTAAATTACTGGTTATATGATCATGTACATAAAAATCTTAACGATACTAAAAAGGAAAAGGATTTTAATAACATTATTAATTTTTTTGAAGAAACGTGGAAATATTATGTTGTTTATAGCATTACAGAAAATGTGGATAAAGAGATATGCTATCCATACAGATCTTTATTTAGGGAGAATTTTTTGAATCATCTGAATGTAGTGAAGAATTTTTTGGACTATGTTGAAAATTTTAATTTCATCAAAACGGATATTGGGAAGAGTACATACTACGCATGCCAAAAGTATTTCCATTATCTTAAAGAGAGAATTCCACTATATTTCTCATTTAAACCTTTATGTACAAAGCTAGAAAGTAATGTTTGCACAGATCATATCAAGTATCATCATTTATATAATCCAAAGAATTTATTTACTAATGGTGAATTAGTTAAAATATATTTAGAGTCATGGTGTAATTCCTGTTATAAGAATGCTTTAGATTTATACTATGAATCCCAGAAACCATCATCGGAGTATATCACTAAGTATAATGAATATTTAGAACCGTTAATTAATAAAAGGTCAAACTCAAGTGTAAATTTAGCAAAAAGAGACACTACACAATTACCAATTGTGAATGTTCCAGTAACTTCTGGGAAGGAACAGCCTACAAGAGTTAAAAATCCATTGGAAACTACAGAAGCACCAATTACAGGAGGTATAGAAACTCCAAGAGAAAATATCAGTAAACTTTATGGTGATAATATCTTTTATTCAAGTTTAACAAATGAACAAAGTTTTTCAATAAATAAATTTGTGTTATTTATGATTTTTATTCTATTTGGCATAATTATGCTTTTATTTGTTTTTTATAAGGTAAAAATAATAATGCCATTTGTATACATAGAATTCATTAAATATCAATAATTTATCTTTATTAAAAACTGTTTATTATAATATTAAAATCATTACATAATTAATGAACATGTTTGCTATTGTTTCTCTCCCCATCTCAGATAAAGTCATTTGGAAAACCTTTCACACGCAGACGCAAAAAAATTAAATCTTACCTCCTAGATGATTATAACACTGAAGATAAGGATTCAATTTTTGACAATTCTGACAGTTTTAGTTCCATCTCCAAAAGTAGCACGTCAAGCATGGCATATAACCCTACATGACATGGAATAAAATAATACATAACATCAAAATAAGCTTGCCATAACAAATATGTGTTAGTGCTGGTAATGATAATATTGACATGGATTTCCTTGAAGATAGAGAAATGTGTGTATATATATGTATATACATATATGCATTATACTTTTATATATAGGGATTCAAAATTATAATTCTCCACAACAAGGAACCTTTGGGAATATGCAGAAATTACTACAGTGTGAGAATAAATATGCAAAATAATACACAAACTTTCAAAATATTCACATTATATAAAGAGTAAAATAATGGGAAAAATTGCATATGGCTGAACAACTATTTAAATGAGTGTATTTGACATAGTCATTGTAATGGAGTACACTATATATTTTATAATGAACTAAATTGTATAATTTAAGTGAATAACACAGTTTTTTTTGTTTGTTTATAAAATATATTATTAAATTGTTTACATTTCCTTAGCTTTATGGCATTTACGCATGCAATGGAAAACACACATATTTTAATTATTTTACTGTTTTTGTGTAGGTATTGTAATTATTTTACTGTTTTTGTGTAGCTATTTAAATTTATGTTATTGTTTATGTGTGTTATATATGTATTTGAAATTTGAAATCTTTGAGTATAAAAAATAAAACTCTAAAAACATGTTTTTAATTAAAAAAACAACTGAAGAGACAAGTATTTTTATATAATTAAATTTGTTAAAAAGAAAATAATCTTATCATTAAAGATGTATTAACACACACTCCACAACCTGCGTTGAAAATTACCTCATTTGTAGCTTTACTAGGGAGAAAAATACATTAAAACACATTTAATACAGGGGAAACACAACTTAGGATAAATAATTAATACGTAGAGCAGTTATTATATGTTTATTGAAAAATGGTGCATAGACTGGGTTACTCATGTAAAATTTCCTAAATTAACATTGTAGCGCATACTCTAAAATAAAATAATATGAATTTCATAAATAATAAAAGCATTAATATTAAAAAAAAGAAGAAAATGTATTATTCAATAAGGTTATTATTTTTAAAACACTTTCTTCAATATATAAGAATGATGCTACTATTGATTACGAAGGTAATTTTGGTTAAAGGATGCTTTATTCTTGTGCTTATTGGTTACAGTGCACTATTATGTATTAAGAATGAATATTAAATTACGAAAATAGGGGAACAAATGTGCTATGTATATATATGTAAAACGTTAAATAAAAACAATATGTATAAATTATATTGAGAAATATTCGATAATTATTTGTTAAATCTATTGATTCACGCGCATATATTCATCCATACTAAGTTTTACTAACAAGAAAAATGATATATCACAATGCTTTAAAATATAACTGCATTTATGCAGATAGAGTTTCCTTAAGAATTGCATTTAGAAAAGGATAAACAGCTGACACGAAAAAGTTAACTAATAATTACAAGTCTATAAAACTCTTCTATAAAAAATGTTTGTCACATACAAAATGAGTAGTATTTGCAAAATAATATATATTTTTTAATTTTATGATAAGAAATGCACTAAATAGTTATTTATTAATTGAAAAACATATTATTTTGAACTAAGAAAAGAATTTCTGTGAGCTAATTTAGGATAACACTAATAATATATTTGATAATAGTCCCTAGACATGTTTTGTTTTAAAAATTTTTATTACATTAAGATGAACTAGTAATTTTGTTACATTATGTTGCATTTTTTTTTTTGGTATCCTATATGAAAACTTTAAAATTATTTATAAGAAAAAAAATGTTACGATAAAAGTAAAATAAAATATGGTTATTCTCTATTGAATATATACATAAAAAAAAGCACCTACCATGGGAAACAAAAATTTTGATATACTTAAAAAAGGGTTCAAAAAAAAAAAAAAAAAAAAAAAATAATTCATTCAATTTTTATCTATATATTTTAAAAATAATCAAACTATATATGTTTGCAAAAGAGAATTGGAAAATATTACATTTTAAAACATGATTCAGCATTAATGTACATAATTCTTGTTTATAATTATCTATTCTTTGTTAAATCATAAATCTTTAATTTCCTTGGTAATTTTTTTTTTAATAATATGAATATTTTTGACAAGTTCAAGGATAAGAATATACTACTTATACAATGTAAAACAATATCCATGCATGACAGCTCAAAGAAAATTCATGGAATATCTTAAATAAATAATAAATTATTTTATAACATTTTATTATATGAATATTTTTAATTTATCAAAACATTTATTTATTTATTTAAAAATATTAACAAAAAATTAATAAATGTTTAAGAATAATTTTTTTTTTTTCCTTTATTATTCTACTGAACAAATGTTCCTGAAGCATAAACTTCATTAAATAAGTAGACGAAATTCTTTATTCCCTATGATAAATAAAATATTGAGTTCTGTATGTTATAGTACTCATAATTATATAATTCTTAATTCTTATAAATATTTTTCTATTTGAAATTTTTATTTTATTGATATATGAATGGTCTATTTCATGTAGTGATATTCCAGAACACATTATAATTACAATGAACATATTATGAACCACTTATTTCTTTTGTTTTTCTACATGCAGGTTCGTAAGATGAACATCACATGCATATCGTAAAGCGAAAACGCAAAGTATTTTTCGTCTTCTTAATATGTACAAACTTATTTTTTATGTTTATAATTTTTGAACGAATTGTTTATATAATTCGCCCACTTTTCTTTCGTGGATTCCCTAAGTTCTCCCCACGATTTTCTCTTCAAATTTATATACCTCAGAAATTCCCACCTTGCGCAAAAATCTTCCTTTGCGAAATCCTTTATATTCTTTAAATCGAAATTATCTTTTTTTAATAATGCATTCGTTATTTTATCATCTACATATTTGCATTTTTTCATTTCATATTCTTTTGGTATATTATAATTCTTAGCTAATAAATGGCAATAATTCATTGTTTCTTTTTGCATTCGAATAAAACTTAGCCTCACATGTTTATGCACATATTTCCATACAATATGCATAGTTTTTCCATTAACCGGCCCCTTTATATTATCCAATTTATCGTTTAATTCGTCTTCTGTTACTTCTTCACAATTATCAGTATCTATACAACTAAATATTATTTCGTTTTTATTGTATATTGCTTGTTTTCCTGCATCATTCTTTAAATTATTGTATGTTACAGCCTTGTTTTTTAAATCTTTACTCTTGTCGTCAACATTTTCAGAAGAACCGAACTTATTATTGTTATGTTTATGGGGAAATCCATTGTTTCCCACTTCAATGCTATTATTACCTCGTAACTTTTTTAAATGTAACTTAATGTCTTCAAACAATATCCTTGAATGTCTATTTTTTAAGTGCGTCTGTGAATATGTATTTTCTGTACATGTATTAATATTCTATAAAAATTACAGTAAAAAAAAAAAAATAAAAAAAAATAATTTTTTTTTTGAAAATTTTACTTATTCATGTTGTTTAAAAGAACTGAAAATTGTGATAAAGAAATGGGTGTACAAAGATGTGTGTCGTTAAATATGAAAAGTTATATACTTGTAAGAGAAGGTACAACAAAGACAGAACTAATGCACTAAAAAAAGATTTGGAAAAGATACATGATATAATTTTTTTATTTTTTAATTTGTATTCCTTTTCTTTTGCTAATTTTTGAAAACTAATTTTTCCTTTTGCTATATTCCCTAATGAAGGTATTATAGATAGAAGGAAATCTTTTTTTTTTTTGATATCTTTCATTTTTCTCTTCTCTTGTTTTTTACGTATATATTGAAGGATGATGAAAATTTATTTTATTAATAAAATATTATTGCTATATTTTTTAACTAAATTTCAGAATATACCTATTTTATATATGATATTACATTGAGTTAGACTAGTTCGTACGAACATAGACAAAAAAAGTGAAAAATTATTAAATGATTAATTAAAAAATAAAGCATTTAAAATTATGTAAAATAATAGAATATATATATATATATACATAACAAAAAACAAAAACAAAAAAAAGAGTTTCGCAAAAACTTTATAACTGCACGAATTAAATAGAACTTTTACATCATAATATTGTTTAAAATGAAAAATAAATATATTAAAATACATTAAGAGGTTATATTGGAATTTTCATTCTTTATATATCATTTTTTTCAAATAAAATGTATCAAAAATACTTTTGAATGATTTGGTGTCTATCATTCTTAAATTTGTAATTTTGTTTTAAATTGAAAGATTAATTTGATCGTTGGTTTCAGCTTAAAAAAAAAAAAAAAAAAAAGTTATTTTTTTTGACTTTTCTTTCTATATTTAAATATAAAAGTTATTCATAATGTAAAAAAAGGAACTCTGCACCCATCAACAGTTTTTGTGTTTTTTACAACAGTACTAATAAATTAAAAATTATTATTATTGTTCACAAAAAATTGTGCATTTTAAGAAAATTAGTTGTGTATATACATATGTTCATTTAAAGGAATTCTGAGATTCAAATTGTTGCTAATTAGTTCATTTCAAATTTTATTTTTTTTATATTTTAATTTTTCAACTTTTTTTATAATATTTTAATATATACATTTTTTTTTTTTTTGTGTCATATTAGTAGCAACATTGTGTAGTTAATCTTTAGAAATTGTTTTTAACTTTCCATTTTAATTACATTTTTTTCCTTAAATTTTGGTCAAAAAAAAAAAAAAAAAAAAGTATTAGTGTAAAAATGATGATTATATAGGAAAAACAATAAATTTTATATCTATATTTCACATCAGCATTAAAATAAGTGTGTATGTTTCATTGCACAGATTAACTATCTTGAATTAATTAGGAAACGCAGTAAACTAATACGAGAAAGAATTGTTTTACAGTTAAAATAGTTCAAATAAAATTCAATTTTACTAAAACAATCACATGTATATTTATAAGAATTACATTATACCTTTTTACCTATAAAATAAAAATAAGTCTATATTTCCTTCAAAACTAGATGAAACGGTTGTTCAATGATTACTGGATAATTGTATAATTCATTTTCTGTCTTAGAGTTTGTAGTTTGTCTAAAACATCTTTTGTTAAATTTGCTTAATAAAAAATCACTTTTCTAGTAGAAGTACGTCAAATTTAATTTTAGAGAAGAAGGTAGACTTTGTCGTATGATTTACAAAATATTAGTTTGTATGTATATTAACATTTTCACGTTTGCATTTTTGTGGTAACTAAATGTTGTAAAAAAAAGCATGTCCCAAGCTAGGCAAAGGAATAATTGGATCCATTTAAGTTTATCACTTTTCAAAAATATTAGTATAGCCTATATTTTATATAATATGCTATAATCACAAAACTTGGGGATTTTTTTTTTTATTTTTAAGAATGTTAGCAGCTTTACGGTTTTGCTAATGTTGCAATTTCATTCCATATTTGGATAACGTTTTTCCCCCCTCCTTTCATAATAAGCATTATGTATGGATTGAACTGGTATATTGCAAAAGAAAGAAAAGAAAAAAAAAGAAAAAAACTGAATATGAACGCATAAATTTTATATTAAAGTTTTTACTTACTTTTAATGTTATTCTCATATAACTATAAAGTGCAACGCATTGCTATTGTAGAATTGTTTTATTTATGCATATTCACAAATGTTATTTTATTTTACATTTACACATTATTAAAATCCTGAGATGTATTTGCTTGTCAAATGTATCAATAAAATGCAGTTTAAAAGCGGTTAACTATGCTTTTATACGAATAATATATATATATATATATATATGTAGTAAGAAAAAAAGTCCATAACCTTGTTTTCTGTTTTAAGATATATTTAAATTTGTATATTTTACTTAAGATATCAATTATGAAAATTGTATATAAAAGAATCCTTTTTGCATTTTTGAAAAAATAAAATAATAACAAAGCATATTACACAAATGGGAAGTATATTATACTTCTGCGGATTTTTATCCACGTGATGCTTTCAATGTGATGCAACTATAAACCTATAATAACACTAAAGATAAATGTTTGATGAAAAAAAATTGTGAGAACAAGGAAAGAGAACTAATGGAATAAAATAATGTTTAAAGTATAAAAGTTAGTAATAAAATAATAATATAGTGATGAAAAGAGAAAAAAATAATAAATATGAAAAAAGGGTTGAACAAAAGTAACACATCCAAACGGTGATCCAACGAAAAGTTCATTGATGCCTTAATTAAGAGATAGAATTTTATAAGCTGAACAAAAATGATTGAGAAGTATATTAAATATGATATTTATTAAAAGTATATGTATTCGAAAAGTGATAATTAAAGGATGAATAATAGTGCTAAATAAATAACTCATTTTTAAAATAGTTTGATATGATTTCCTAAATCAAAAATGCTACTATTGTGATTGTGTATTTTATGTGTATATTTAACAATAAATATAGTGGAAAAAGTAACGTCACATATAGCAAACAAAATTTAACAAACGCTTGTAAATTACCATAAAGGTTATTAATGAACGGTTGTTACAACACATGACATTTCAAATTAGATTCCCATGAAGAATCTAATTTCTTCAAAATTCAAGGTACCAACAATTACAAAGTGAATTATGTCGTGATTCCTTCATTTTGTCATATATAATTGTATTAAGTATAGATAATGCATTTGTAATTTTCCGTTATCCATTTAGGAATATATTATAGCGCTTTATTTTCCCTAATATATTTATATGTATAAATTCACTTATATTTTATGTAAGAAACATATGTTTATGAGGATTAGTAAATTCTGTTTAATTTTTAGATATATGATTATAAAAAATGTATTATACCCCGTTTCCTCAGTTATTCTAGATATTGTTTATTTAAATAAAGAACATAAGACCATAAGAACTGTAAAATTATGTATAAATTGTATTTACATTTCCATTCATTAATATTTATAAATAAAACTTCCATTTAATCAAATATTTACAGTTCACTAATACTTATAAATAAAGCAAAATTTTTAATTTGGTAAAATTTAGAATTGTTGATATGTTACAACTTAAAGTTTTGAAACATTTTTTTTTTTTTTTTCCTTTGCACACCAAATCTAGAACAAATTGTTTTAACAACATAACTAATTTTTGTGCTTACTGAAACTTTTTTTTTTTTTCCTTTTGCACACCAAATCTAGAACAAATTTTTTTAACAACATAATTAATTTTTGTGCTTACTGAAACTTTTTTTTTTTTTCCTTTTGCACACAAGATTTAGAAGAAAATTTCTTAATAGTATATATTATTTTTGTGCTTAATCTATTTTTTTTTTTTTTTTCCCCCTTTTTCCTTGAAATTTACTATTTTTTGTATACTGTGGGCTACTTGAGCGTAATAAGAGAAAAAAATAAAAAAAGGTTTTACATAATTATCGACATTTTAATTTTTTTTTTAAATTTAAGCAAAAGGATTTGAAAAAAAGAAAAAATATGAGATGTTGTTTACAGATGTTTAAACATGAAGGCTGTTGTTCTAATAGATAAAAACACTTAAACATAATTATTAAATTTGGAATGGGTGTAATGAAATTTGCATTTTACACATATTTAGGATAATATAGTTTAGGTGTAGGGTGTTCTTATATATATGTGTTTAAAATTTTATTATTTTATTTTTTTGGATCTTGAGCTTAGTTATGTGTTTGAAACAACTAACATATATAAATGTAATAATTGTGTTAACAATAGCATGAAAACATATATTTAATTTAAAATACTATGAAAGGAAAAAAGCATGCTTTATTTTTTACCCTGCTTTTATTTTTGTCATATAAGGTGTCATGCATTGATAATATTTTTATCATAGAAATAAATTATTACAAAAGGGAAAAATATTTAGATACATAGTTGAACGAAAGTTTGATATAATTATTGAACGCTACATTCACAAACGTTTTCTTTTTATTCTTTCAGGTAAATGCTGTATTGTTAAAGGAGATAATTAAAAACTTTCTAGAATGCACGAAAGAACATGTGAAAGGTAAAAATGCCTATAAATTAACTGAAGAACACCCAAGTATTACAGGAAATATATTAGAACTATGGAAAAGTGAAACTAATGAAAATACATGCCAGAAGAAAATAAAATTTAAACATGATGCAATAAAAATAAAGATAAAATATGCACAAATATTTAGAAAACGAGCTAATAGAATTCTGAGGGAGGTAATTCATGGTCCTAAAAATTTTGGAAACAGCAGTCACAAAGAATTACGTAAAGGCAATAAAAATGGGGAGAATAAAGATGGAGAACATAAAACTTATAATAAAACTCATAAAGGAAGATATAGAAATAGTTTATTAATGATAAATAATGATGCATCTAGGAGAGGTCAACATTCAGAGCAGCTTGACAATGCCCTTGGTTCTGCTACTGGATCAGAGGTGAATTATTATGATAATTCCTCAAAGGATGGTACCCCTTATGGTGTTAATCATAAAATAGAAATTCATAGTGGTGTTATAAATCATGAATTTCGTGAAAACCCTATAATGAAATCTTGTCCGATGAAGAGAAATCGTTTGGAAAAAGATTGGGGATGCCAAGGGTATAAGGATGTTTGCGTACCAGATAGGAGGTATCTATTATGTGTAAAGGAGATTGCGAATTTGTTACATAATGTAGATGATAGATTTCATAGTGATAAGGAATTTCGAAAAACCTATTTGAAAAGGAAACTTATTTATGATGCTGAAGAAGAGGCAGCCTTATTATTAAAGAAGTATAATAATAAATATAATGAAAACTTATGCAATGATATAAAATCCAGTTGGGCCGATTTTGGATATATAATAATGGGAACTGATGTAGAAAATATTGGTTATTCAATAGTAGTGGGATATAACTTGCGCAGAGTTTTTGGAAATGATGATAATGCAAAATTGAGTCGTAAGCATTTTTGGAATGACAATAAAATTGATGTTTGGGAAGCAATGATAAATTCAGTTAAAAAAGGATCAACGGGAAATGTTCATTGGAGTTGTAAAATGAATGACACTTTGGATATAGTACCGCAGATACATAGTTGGATTCGAGAATGGGGAAGGGATTACAGATCTGAATTATCCTTAGGATTACCACAAGTGATAAATAAGTGTAATGGAAAAATCAATAATACTGATAAAAAGGTATGCACAGTACCTGAATGCCAGAAAAAGTGTGAAATATATGATAAATGGTTAAAAAGAAAAAAGAAGCAATGGGATATTCTCTCAAATAAATTTAAAGATACAAAAAACATGGAAAATATTCAAAAGGAAAACAATGAGACTGCTTATGATGTATTAAGGCAGGAGTTAAATGGGGTGACAGAAGAGGATTTTGTCAATGATATTAGCAGTCGTGGTAATACATATATTGAATTATGCATTTGTGGTATCGATGGCTTTAAAAACGTATATGAGTATGGTGTAATTGATGATGATACAGTACAGGATATTAACCATTGGGATCATAAAACAGAACGTACATATAATGGGGAAACGGTGAGTGCTCCGGAAAATTCTTTGGACAGAAATGTCACAAATAGAACAGGTGAATCTCACGAAGGAAGAGTTGCTTTGGGGCATGGAAATGATATGAATACACAAGTTTATATTCAGGGAAATGATATTACTGAAGATCTTGATATGCAGCAATCTGAATGGGAAAGGAGTGATCCCATTGCAGATGCTAGAGAAGATGTCGCTGATTCAGAAAATCAAAGTTTAAGAAATTCAAGTAGACTAACATCTGAATCTGAAATTGATGAAAACAATACACGCGATGATAGTACTGATACTGCATCTGGTACTCTCAGAAGTAGAGATAGTTATGGCACTTTGAACTCTACGAAGTTAATAGTTAACCCGGGCTTGAAGGGTATAGGTGAGGAGGGAATGGTTCAAGATAATGATATGAAGACAATTGATGCAAATAGCAATCATTCTGATAGTATAAGAGCTGCTGGAGAAGTTACTACTGACACAGTTGAATACAAAAGATATGATGGAAGGGAGACGAGCAGATTTCCTGAATATAACAGGGAAGAGAGTAGGGATACTTTGCCACAAATAGAGGCAGAAAGTTTAGGAGAAACAGGAGGTGTGCATAGAAGAACAACAGATACATCTTCCGTCTTGGCATATAAACATTTTGGTAACGAAAAAGATTTTCAAACACATAATTTAAAAAGCACTAATAAAATGAATGGAGCTGAAAATTTTGATCAAAATACAGGTACAAAAGGATATAACAGAGATAATAACAAAAGTGATAATTTAGGTTGGAGGAATCAGACAAATAAAGATACCTCTACAAAAAATCCTACTAGAAATAATGTATTCACAATTGATAAATTAGATATAAAAAAATATAAATACAGAGATGTCAATGCAACCAGGGAGAAAATAATACATTTATCTGAAGTAAGAAAATGTAGCAACAGTGTTTCTTTAAAGTATTGTAATTTAATAGAAGACAAAGTATCGTCAAGTGCTTGTTCTAGAGATGAAATAAAACATTTATGTTGCTCAATATCGGATTTCTGTTTAACATTTTTTGTTGCTTATTCTCAAGAATATCGAAATTGTGTGAAGAGGGAATTTGATGATCCAGCATACAAATGTTTTATAGCAGTTAGATCCTTAGGTATGAGAAAATAGCTGATGAAAAAAGAATCATGTACTATAAACTAAAGCATTTTTAACTTTAAGAATATTATAAAAATATATATTTTTTTTTTTTTTAAATTCTTTTTACAGACAATAGTTATTTCGCTGGGGGAAGCATATTGCTCATATTAGCATTGTTACTTTCTTCAACGAAGATGATAAATAATAAGTAAAAAATAAATAAATAAAAATGTGTTGCTAATATGTAATTAATTTTAAGTATTCTATTTATTATATTTTTATAAGAATAGAAAAAGTTTAATAAATATATGCGTATATACACAGATGCACACACATACACATATATATATATGATAATTACATATTTTATCATTTGTGTAGCTCTGAAGAATCTACATTCGATGAGTTTGAAGAACACTGTGATAGCGATAACAAATGTCCAGAGATTGTTGATAGTAATTTAATATTAAAAAGCACAAGTACACATTAAAAAGAAATTACATGACGAAGTATTACATCCTTATTATATTTTAATTTCGTTCCTTTTTTAGGTTTTGAAAACATACAGCCAACCTCTCCCCTGGATTATTATTAATGAAAATTTGGAAAATAAAAAAATAAAACGTGCATGCTAGCGCATTCTTATGCATTTTACATGGTATTATAAATGAGAGGATATAACAGTCAGATGTAAAATGATTTAAAAATACAATAAACATTATTTGAATTACACAAATTTATTTAAAATTTGAAATTAGAATTGTTTATATTTTTAACTAATTTTCATGAGAATATTGGAGTTTACTAGTTTGTAGGGTACAATGACTTTGCCAATAAGGAAAAAATAGTTTGAGTTAATTTTACTATTTATTTTTTTTTTTTTTTGTTACCTAAAATAATAAAATGTGATTTTAATAATTAAAGCTTAATTATAAAAATAGCATATATAATATAATGGAAATTTTTACAAATTGATGTAATAAAAAAAATAATTAGTCTCGAGAACTAATGGTTTTACTGAAGAAAAACTTCACTTTCAACTTCTTGAAAAATAGAAGACAATTATATTTTTTATATATTATTTGTGAATTTTTTAAAATGGTTACCTCTTGTGTATTATTAAGAGTTTAATTTGAACTTTCTGGTTCTTCGCATATATGAGCTTGTTAATACATTATATACTAGTATAGTTTACTTGATGTCATTTAACAAAAAAAGTATATGTAAATATTTGTTTTTAATTTACATATGAAAATGTAGGAAAATTGGTAAAAGGAATAGTAATATAGTATAAAATGTAGTTATTTTCTTTTATATTGTTTTTATTTCTTTTTTCACACATAGATTTATTTTCGGGGGGTAGCCTTTTTTTTACTATTATGTAAAGTTTGTTAGAAAATTGTGAATATGCATTGGGGCAGTCTATATAAAATACGCTTCAATTGTATCTAAAATATATGAGAATTATTTAACATAAGCATTAATATGATTTTGTTATATAAGACATTTCAATTTTATAGTTCAGCATATATATATTTTTACAGACATATTATGAATAGCTTTATTGTATGATAATAGATCTTTTTGGAAATTCTGATATAATGAACTTTATATAAATATATTATTAAATACATTTTATTTCCTAATACTTGTTGTGGATAAAAGTGTTGTATTTATAATTTTTATTCATTTATTATGTATATCATATGTATGCTTTTAATGGTATAAAAAATTAGTATTCATAACAGGTTAGTTTGTTATATAATAATTTTTTCCTTTTTTTACATTTTATTATTCAGAATAGGTTAACATATATCCATTATGATGATTTAATTACATTTTACTTAATTTTTTTATTTACCCTGTAATGTTTAATTAATTCATTTAGAACACTTGATCTTAATTACATATAAATAGAATTTAAATTAATATAATGTTTTTATTATTTTTTTTAATTCCATTACAAATAAATTTTAAAACACGCTTAATATTTTATATATTTTACAAAAAGTTAATATGTGCTACATATAAATATATAAATTCATGTAAACATAAAGAAAAATATTTAGCAGTAATTAATAAAATAATAATGTGATAGTAAAACATTTTGATACTCATAAAAAAAATAAAAGAAATAAAATTAGCTATTTTCTATATGAAAAAATGATATAAGTTAAAAATTATGTTAGAATTTAACCTTTATTACATTTACAAAAATTTCTATATCTTATTCTTTAATTAGATATGCCATTGTAAAATTCATTCAGTATAATTACAATTTTATTTTATTTTTTTTTTTGTTATTAATTTTTTGTTAGTTTTATTTTGATAAATAGTGTTTTCATCATGGATATGTAATTAGCATTATAAATTATATTATACTTTATTATGATTATTATTATACAATAAATATAAAATTGGGGAACAAGGAATATAATGGTATAATGTTTTACACTATGAACACTAGTTTGTTTACTAAATGTGGAACAAATCATTTTTCTAACCAAATCACATTTTTGTATTTCACTATTTCGCATTATATATTCATTATAATGAATAAAAATGAATAGTTTATAAGTATAATATTTTCATATTACAAGAAGTTCTTTTGATTCTTTAGTAAGGCTCTATGCCAGCAAAATAGGAATAGAATGAATAATAGTAACAATGAAAAATTAATACATTATATATTATTTTTATTGTGATATCTTAAATGAAAAAAAATACTACATTAATGCTAAAACATAAATTCATTTTTGATACAATTAATGCACTGAAATGTTAGATATAGTTTAATTCTGCTTATAGTGAATTAAGAATCTCTGTTAAACTAAATAACATTAGAACACTTACATATATAAAGTAACTTGCACATTTTTTTAACATTTTATAAATAAAAAATTATTCTTTAAAAAAATATATTAAATTTTATACAAATTATTGCTCTTTGTTTTGAGAATATTTTATTCTATCATACACGTATATAATGCACTTTTATATTAAATTAACAATTCAAGGGAGGTATGATATACATGTTACATATAATAATGAGAACCTAAAGAGAAATAAATATTTTTTTAGTCCTTTTTCTTATTTATGCAATGGAATGCATATTATAGCATTATTTAATTCTAGACCCCAGATAATTCATTTATCAGAATCAGAAAATATAATTTTATTAATAAAAAAATATGCACAACTAATATTAATAAAACTAATTTATGAATAAACAATAAAAAATAGTAATATTTATATTTATTTAGTATATAATAAAATATATGAATTACAGCATATGTTAATGTATTGTCTTTAAAAATTATAATAAATTCAAAAAAAAGATAAAAAAGCTAACAATAATCAATAAAAGAACCATAATTTATATTTGAGATATGGAGACTTTAAACAATATTAATACATATGTGCATATTATATTATGGCAATTTATAGGAAATAGATTTTTATTAAATAATAAATATATCCGTAATGTGAAAACATGTCAAATTTAATTGAATATTATAGAGGTGTAAAATAAATATTTATTCACTAATGTAGTAAATATAAAAAGATACTATGAAAACATTACTTTAAAAGCTGTGTGTAACAATGACCCTAACATCTTGGTATTCGTGCATGGAGTTAATGATTCAATTAATATTTTATATAAACATTCTATTATATTATTATCATCATTCCTTTTTTTTGTTCTACAGAAGTGAATAAATTATTTAGATTAAAGCTTCTAGTATTACACTGAATCTTTTTTAATTTTCATGAAAAAATATTTCAATTATATATATTTTGATTTTGAAAAAATTTTGAATAATCATTTAATGCAAAAACTGAAAATTCATTTAGTTATACATATTAACTTATAAATAACATTTATAAAAGATTTTACAATACTTTATAGTATTTTATTATTTAATATTGTCATGTAACCTTATAATTAAAAGTCCAAGTTTATTTATAAGTATATTTCAGTATTAATCTAATAACACTATTCTTTATATATGTGTAAAATTTTATTTTTCAAAATATTTTTATAAAGTTGAAACATTCCTAATTATACTATATCTTTAATACATTATTTTAAATGTAATATAATTATACAACATGCAAGACAGAAAATATTTAAGTATTTATCGTAAATATTTATATAAATGTTTAGAATTTTAGTGAATAAGCAAAATTTGTTATAATAAATTAGCTAAATTAAAATCATAATAACATTTATTAATCATACGATTTTAAAACAAACTCCAAAAAAATCAACTAAGAAAACAAGAAAAAAAAAATGCTTAAAAAAAAAACAAAAATTTAATAATAATAGTTAAGGCAAGAAAAAAGTTGCATACAAAAAATATCTAAAAAATATGAAGACTTTGTTTATTAATTAAAATCTTATATATTCACCAAAATGCTTCATATAATCATCAATATGAAGTTGGTGGCAGCATTAAAAAAAATAAAATTATGATATATCTGTTATTTTGTGCTGAACCAGGCCTGTTCAAATATACCTAAACTATAACGCTAACATTTTCACTTACTTAGAGAAGCTTTATATAAACGTGTATAAAATGTTGTCAATGTTTGCATCCTTAACCATTAATATAATGTATTACTCGCATTCAATATTTTAAAATTGTAAAAATATTACTACCGTCTTTGCGTTGTATTATTTACATCTTTAATTATTTTCTACATTTTTGGCAATATGTATAAATTTTTAATACATTGTAGCATTAACTTTTTTATCCTCTGATTATTATTACTTTTTTTTTTTTTCTTTCTTCCCATTATTCTTTTTTTATTAATAATAATTAGCTCAGTTGTACTAGAACTTTTTTTTTATATCATTGTTCTAAATAGCTTCATCTTGTATATATAATTAATAAAAAGAATGTTATACATGGTGATATACTAATTATGAATTCCTCATTTTTGGATGTAAAAGTAGAGATTCTGAATTATACATTGATAACTCTTCTTCGGATTCATTATAAAAATAATTTTCCAAAATTTTTTTTTTAATTTTTTTTTTCTTTTTGCGTAAACCTGATCCTGAAGTGCTAAACTAATAAAAAAAAATGAAAATATGAAATATATGAAAATATATAAATTTTATAATTACATATTTAAAAGCAAATGAAAAAATATAGGCTCAAACATAATAATATTACATATAAAAATTGAACTTGTTATTACTATGTGGTAGTAGAAAAGGAATATTATTGTCCCCAATATTGAAGTAGTTATAACAATGCTACGAATAAGACTAGAGTTCATTTTATCATATAATGAATTTTTTATGCTCTGAGAATCAGGAAATATAGTTTGATCTGCGTTCATGTTACTCTCTGACATATAATGTGAACCTCCATAGTCCTCTTGTTCAATATCCTTCCTCGATGGGATATTAGCTTCTTTAGGTTGTAAAGGGGAACGTTCCTCATGAGATTTTTCTGCTTTTCTATCTAATGCTTGAATAATTTGTTCTAATTCAGTTAATAGCTTCTGTGGGGCGTACTTTTCTTCACATTTAATAGAAGGATTGCAGTCATATCCGTCTAATTCATCTTCGTAGCAGCAGTT